CTGTTGTGGGCGTAGTACATATCAGCAGGCCCCCCTGAAATCGCTTCAAACTGGATCAATCAAGTCATTCGTCTGCTGCATGACGGGCAATCACATTATAAGCACCCAGGCAATTCAGTAGATGCGCCTAAGTTGGCAAGTACAGGCAAGATAAGCTTGAGTCGAGCCATTTGGCATTGCTTGATGTGCGTTTTGGTCAATGGGTCCTCACACATCTTAGCTGGCAGGGCTCGCAGTGTCCGGTGTGTCTCTTGACCACTGCGTGTCTGCGTGTCTGCGTGTCCGCGTGTCTGCGTGTCTGCGTGTCTGCGTGTCTGGGTGTCTGTGTGTCTGTGTGTCTGTGTGTCTGTGTGTCTGTGTTCCTGTGTGTCTGTGTTCATGCTCGTGTACGATTTATGATCGAATACTTTGCACAACGTGCGTTCCATCAAACGGAACCATTGATGCCTCTGCTCGCTGAAGACTTGGCAGGACTTTGTCTGATCATGGTCACATCGTTCGTGCACGTGTTCCGCAGAATCGAATATCTTCATGAGTGCCGCAGCTGCAACATGCATTTGTTTTGGCTTCGCAGCATTGCGCGGGCGTAAATGGCTGCCTGTTCCATATCTATACTTAATGCGCGTTGCAATGACATCATCTTCATCTTTTTTAATTGCTGTCAGACATAGTGCTTCTGCCAAGGCACACAATCCGTGTGGCAAAACTGGACTCATCAAATCTCGTACAACCTCCTTAACTTTGGCAGGTCATTTGTCACGTCGCGCACGGCTTGGAATCAACATTTGCCCAGACCACCGGATTTCCATGTGAAGAAAAGGGTACCAATTCTTTGGTGTTGAAAACGGAATCAGCCCGGCGGAGGTCGTTTGGTTTGGAAACCCCGTCGAGGGTCCTGGCAGATCCGCTTGTTGCCGGGTATTTTTTTTCTGCGTTGTAGGACGTCCCTTCAGGATTCTCCAAGCAATGGGTGGCAGGCTTGTTGCTGAAACCTGCTGCCATAGTCCTGATCGTTTTCTGCGAAGCACAATCTGCAGCGCCGCTTGTTGCGCACATGCCCTCTGTTCGCTTGCTACCACATAATACGGCATTGTGCAAGAAGACATGACGAGTGTAGACCCACTTGCTCATCTGAACTGTCACTGAAGTTTGCTGCTAACACAAACATATTGGGGGGGGTTCTCGAAATAGGGATCCCCCGAAATGGCAAGGGTCCATCATCCCTGGATCGGACACCAGGCCTGCGCTAGGTCGTTTTGAGAAGGTTGTGGCCGCTCCCCTGGCAAAAATGACTCCGGCAGCTGCTTGCCCAGCCCCGTGGATTTCCGTGGGAAGGAAGGGCGCCCGCTTTTTGCGGTCGATTGAGGGAACCCCCTCCAAAGCAAAAGACGGGCACCTGTCTGGGGGGTCCCGTTGGCCTGGGCAGGAGCTGGTGCCATTCTCAAACTTCCGCAGCGTGTCCTGCAAAGAACACGTTGGGAGTGAGTTGAGCGAACCGGCTACACGGCCGAAATGTCAAATCGGAAAAAGAAGCCGCCAGTCCTGTGTCCTCAGCTCCTGAAAGATCAAGCTGAGTTCCACCTGCAAAAAAAACGCCACGTGACATGTCAGTTTGTTCTCTTGAAGCAAGGCATGATCATGCATGCTCTCTTGTGCAAAGCAACGTGCAGCAGCCGGCCTTCTGCCCTTTCCTCAATTCAATGGTTTGGTGATCCGACAAGCGGATGCCAACTCTCATGTCTCACGCAGGTTAGGCAATGCATCTCAGTAGGAGCCAGCGCCACATCATTGCTGAATTCGATTGCTCACAAAGCCTTCCCCCCTTGCCCTCCCCTCCCCACAGAAAATCTGGTGAAACCCGCCCTTGACACCTGTTGAGACTGGTCCTTTTGAGAGCCATCTTGACTCCGAGGCACCACATGACTATCGGGCTGCATGGATGGTTGCCCAACACCACAGCCCGGTCCTGCGCAGCGCAATCTGTGTGTTGCGAGAATTAAGAAGGCGGCCGCAGCTATGTATGGTTGGGATTGTCTTTTACTAACCTTCATCTACCCGGGCTTTGATTGTGGCTCATGTTGGGATTTCGAACCACCAGCCACGTTTGAGACATGTCCCTTGAAACAAGTCATGCGCTGCGGAATTTCAAGTGCAAGCCACGTGCCTGCAGATGCCTCAGGTTGTTCTCCAGGCCCTGGAGATGGGGATTTGTCGAAAAACATGCGGGGGGCCGAAAAAGAACGGATAAAAAAGACAGGCCCATATGAGTGCAAGCGCATGAAGCTTGAGAAATTCCCCCATCCAAGACTGCCTGGATGTGGGCCGGGGAGACTTTCCCAACCTCCACAGGGCAACCAAACGGGCAAGCTGTGCACAAGAGGCCGCCGCCTTCTTGCTGTCATGCAAGCGGAAATGGTAGTTGGAAAACGCTCGCACCTCTGGGTCGCAGCTTGAAATGTCTGACTGCAATCAAGAAGTCTGAGTGCAACCAGATCAAAGGCGAACTTCAGGGTCTGGCAGCGTTCTGTGCTGCACCAGGATCTGGAAAGTTAACGAACACATAACCTTGGGAAGTCTCAGTATACATGCTCTAGCACCCGGGAGCACGGCCAAAGAGCTCGCTTTGTAGCAGTGTACTCATGCTGGCATCAATTTCGACTGCTTCACATCCTCATCCTCATGCAGCTGAGTTGCCAATATTGCAATCGTTCTGCGTATCCCATGGCCTTCGTGGGCCACTCAGGGCTGCCAAATAGCAAGCAACTGGCAAGCGATAAGCAGGAAGTCGCTGACTGCTGTGAACAGAAGCTGTCCAGCAGACTCGCGCGTTTGAGGCCGACGCAAATAGAAGAAGTCAAAGGAATGTGGAGAGCCCATCACCTGAACACGAACCCTTGGGTTAGCCAATTCACGTGACCCGCGAACAATATTGCTTGTTCCCCCAGAGGACATAGGAAGATTGGGCTGTTTGCCAACTTTTTTCGTGGGAGCTCGGAGCGTCGGCATCCGGATACGAGGCCTCACTGACTTCCAAGATCAGCTCGTCTTGGGTATACTCCGTTGGAATATTGCGAATCATGACCTGGGCAATGGCAAAGTTTGGACAGCCAAACAGGGCCGGGCGATTTGTTTATCATTATTATGTGTTTATTATTTTTTGGGCTGGCCTGATTCAAATGTGTGAAAACTACTTGAGCTACTTTCCTTCACACAATATCGTCTTGGCTTCCCGTCAAAAAGCGAGCAAGGGTTGATTGAACCAGTAGTTGCCCAAACCGCAACGATCTGACATGCACCACATACGTCTGCATGCATGCCACATGCAAAATGAACGCGGCAAGCCAGGTCGCAGTAGTGAAGGGCCCTTCCGTCTGATATTTCTCCTCACCATTGCAAGCTGGACGAGCCATCTCGTTCTAAACTCCAAGTTTGACCATTCCGGACAAGCGAGCAAACGAACAAACCAAACAAACCAACCAAACAAACCAAACAAACAAAAAACAAACACACAAACAATCAAGCAAACAAACAGACAGCCAGCCAGCAAGACAAACAAGCAGGCACACAAACACACACGAACAGCTCTGTTGTCTTTGTTGAAATCACACCTGGGGGGTCACGGTGTTTGCTTCTCGAAATGACACTAGAACCCCCATGAGCCATTTCAAAGAAAAAAACACCTGGGCCCAGAGGCGTGAGAATTCGCGGCGTGAACTCAAAAGAAAAAACACACCCGGGTCAGCGTGAATGCAACAAAAACAAGCCTGCGAGCCCCAGGCGAGATTTTAAGAAAAAACACCGGAGCCCCCAGGCGTCATTTCAAACAAACACCGGGACGAGGCGGGAGTTCAAAAAGAACAAACACGAGGCCCAGAGGCGTGAATGCCAAACAACGCGACCCTCCCAGGCGTTTTCTTTTTTTTTTTTTTGTTTTTTTTTTTTTTTACACACACACAAACTGGTACCCCCCACGCGTGATTTCAAAATGTGTGTTTCCAACAAGAACACTGGAGCCGGCGGGATTTCAAAAAAAAGGGACCCCCAGGCGTGATTAAAGAAAAAGAGCCAACAAACAAACCAACAAACAAACACAGGTGGGCGGAGGGATCTCCACAAGCAGGTGAATCAACAAATAAGTACAGGAATCGGCAGGCAGGCAGGCAGGCAGGCAGGCAGGCAGGCAAGCAGGCAGGCAGGCAGGCAGGCAGGCAGGCAGGCAAACAAATCAAACGCCTAGGATTTCTGACAAGGATCCGCTAGGTTGCTTTCGCGCTGGTTGCGCTTCGACTTGCCCGTCTGCGACATGGGCAGCACCAGGGTGTCACTCCTCAGATAAAAATCGAGAGCCAGTGAGTTGAGCATTCGCGGGTTGACTGGACCTTTGCGAATCTAAATGAGCGCCCCAAACCCATGGACTTTTACTTCTAATAGCATGGATATAAAGGCCTACATTGTACGCCTTCTCCTACATTGTAGGCCTTCTACAACCACGTGAAATCAGGCCGTAGAACCACCTACTAAAATGAATTCAACAGGAATCGGCATCGGGGCAATACTCAAATGCCAGCCAAGTGGCTAAACCCCCAGCTCGCCCATATCCAAAGTTCAAGCTTGAGAAGCAAACAGCACACGCGGACGAATGATTCGATAGCCTACGGGAGGCCGCTCACGTTCAATAGCTCACGAGTTGAAAGTTCGGACGGCTATGAACTTTAACAAGGGACTCTTGGGTTGTCAGACTTCGGTGGGGACTTCTGTCCACCACTTTGGTGGCTCCCAATTAAATTCATAGCCAGATAGCACATCTTTTTGCCACTTGCCCGTCGCGTGTCCAGCTTCGCTGTCTTGTCACGCGGTGCTTTCTGCAGAGCGGGCGCCCAAGGCCCATCCACGTTTCGGACGAGCACGGGCCCTATGTACATCCCAGACCCGAGGGGAATTTTTCGGGAGCAGTGCACCTCTCGTTTGGTTGATGCTAAAGGGAACCACTCTTGATAGAAAAGGCGAAAGGGGCGCCACCGGGTGTCTGGGGCATGATGCAGACACGCTTCTAACAAGCCAGCCAGGCAAGAAAAGCAAATAGAGGTGCCGCTCTTTGGCAGCGATTCGTCTCCACTGTCTTTCCGGGGTAGGCCTGCACATCATCTAGATTCCAGAACGGAGAATAGTCACTGCGAGCCTCATTCTGCTGGAAGCCAAGCAAGTTGAATGTTGCCTCCTGGCGGGCGAATGTTGGGAAGGGCCTCAATTGGGTATGGGGTCAAGGGACAACCCCCAAGGAAAGAATGAACAAATGAGTGAGTGAGTGAGTGAGTGAGCGAGCGAGCGAGTCAGTGAGTCAGTGAGAGAGTGAGAGAGAGTGAGAGAGTGAGAGAGTGAGAGAGTGAGAGAGTGAGAGAGTGAGAGGGAGAGAGCGAGAGAGTGTGAGGGTGAGTGTGAGTGTGAGTGTGTGTGTGTGTGTGAGTGAGAGAGCGAGAGAGTGTGAGGGTGACTGTGAGTGTGAGTGTGTGTGAGTGAGTGAGTGAGTCTGTGCGTGCGTGAGTGAGCGAGTGAGTGAGGCAGTAAGTGAGTGAGTGAGAGAGTGAGAGTCAGAGTGAGAGTGAGAGTGAGAGTGAGAGTGAGAGTGAGAGAGTGAGTGATTGATTGATTGATTGATTGAGTGAGTGAGTGAGTGAGTGAGGGAGGGAGTGAGTTAATGAGTGAATGTGCGAATGAGTGAAGAGTGAGTGAAGTGAAGTGAAGTGAAGTGTATTGCCCCTCTGTATCAAGTGGCCACGGCCACTTGTCCACTTGCCCCCCCCAAGTGGACACGGCGAATGAATCAGCAAGTGCATCAAGTGGACAAGTGGGCCACCCATTTCGCCCTTCCGAGCGGATGGCAGCGGTCATACCAAAAGCATACGATCGTGTCAAAAGGGCCTGATTTGGGCATGGGCTTCCTGTTTCCCTTCCCTTCCAACCATGAAAAAAACCTCCTCCAAACACGCGCGCCCCGTCTCACCCCGCGAAAAAATTGGCCCCAAGTCCTGGCTGCTGTTCAAGCACCCCAAGCGGCAGAGCTGCAGTTCCCAGAGGCTGTGAACCTTGCGACGCCCGGTTTTTTTTTGGCGGACAGGGGACAGGGACCGAAATTTATTTCGCACCTAAGAAACCAAGGGACACCATAACGTTGGTTGGTATTTACAGGCCAATGATTCGAGGGTTTCCTAGGTGCGAAATGGATTTGGCCACAGGTCGCTCACCAACATGCTATTGGAACATGGGTTTCACCAAAACCCAAGGCCACTTGGGGCTATAACAATATTTCGCCGTGGCTCAGTTCCCCAACTCACCTCGGATTTTGGTAAGTGACAGTTTGTGGCTTACCCGGTACCCAACGCCATTGAACATTGCTCACATGGGGAGTTTAGTTAAATTGTCCGATCTACCACAGAGGAGATGGGGACATTCACTGCGTCCAACGTGACTTTCTTCTGAACCGCCATTTCCTCATCCGAGCAGCGACCTGATATTGGTTCTAAGATGCTGATAAGGGTTTATATTTGCCTTGCTACAATCTCTAGTATATTGTAAACAAGATAGCGCAACCACCAAACCTACTAGACTGGCCATGCTGCTTATCAGTCAATATTGACCGCTGAAATCCTTAGTTTTCACAGCAACCTTGGAGCCGCACGGGCCAGTTGCCGCTTTGGGCAGGCAATTGAGCAAACACCTGGCGGTTTGCTCAATTGCAGCGCCTGAAATCCATGCTTCACCAAATTGAAAAAATCATGCTGAGCCGCGGAAAATGAATACCGAGTGCCAGGGGAGGATGAGCTGATGTTGCCACTTTCCGTGTCGAAGCCTGAGATTCGGGCGCAAAACGTGCAGCTCGGAATTCAACGAGCTTGGCAGGTTGTACGCTTTGACCACGCCGCTGAGCGCCGTGCAGATTCGATTGGTGAACACCTTGTCCACAGGTGCACTTGCATTTCTCAAAGACACCATCTGAAGGAACATCTCCAAATGACTATATGAATTCCAATAGAAAATCACCTCACAAGTGGTTGGTGGATACGAATCCCCACCAATATGAAAACCGCAAGGTTGCTCTGACGAGAGCTTAGCCTCAATATGGGTTTAACCATCTTGAGCCCCCCCAATAAGTTCGCAGCATCCGCTTTCTTGATCCACGGCCAGCCAATCGGCACAAGCTTGAGGCGATCTGCGAGCCTGGGCACCAGCCCTCCCAAAAAGGCCTGTCCAAAAGGGGACAACCCAACCGGTTCAAGGGCGCCATGGCCCCCCCTTCTCAGGAGGGATTCCCCTTTCAGAGCCAGTGATTTCTTCATAATCCCACCCAGTTGCTGAACTTTCAGGTGCCAGGGTGCGTAGCACTCGGTCCAAGGAAGAGTTTGAAGCCGGCCGCGGGAGCTCCTCCAAAGAAGACACGCAGAGTACTTACATGTGTGTGTGTGTGCGCGCGGGTGTATTGGTTGGAGGCTACCCTTTGCTTTGCCTTAATTTACATTTAAAAAACAAACAAAAAACAACAGTATTGGCCTTCCATATTGCATAAGAATGTGTTATGGCAACTAATTGAAAGCTAGCTCTCTGAGACAGATGACAAGAGAAGGAATCATAAGCCCGCGAGAAAAATGCGCGCGCTCAAGCTTTAAAAAACCATGGATGGCGGAAGTCACGTGGATTGCTGCGCAAAGAAGCAGCAATCCGGCTTGCTTCGCCGCTCTCTTTAGTGAGTGAGTGAGCGAGCAAGCGAGTGGGTGAGCAAGTGAGTGGGTGGGTGAGTGAGCGAGTGAGTGGGTGAGTGAGAGTGAGTGGGTGAGTGAGTGGGAGTTCATTGGCTGTTGATTCTGCAAACATGGTTACAAAGGTTTGTATAGCCCTCCTTTTGACCTCCCTGAAACCAGGTAGTAGAAGAACCTACTAGAATTGCCATAACTTCTGCTTTGGGCGCTGCTTACATGGGTGTCTCCCAAAAACAGTCCCAGCTTGCTACCCAAAAGACAGTTCTGCTAAAAAAGCAACGTTCTCCCGTGTGTGTCGTGGTCAAAACGCCCCATATGTGAGCCATGGTCATTGCCTGCTGAAGTATCCTTACCCAAATTCCATTCAGGAGTCTTCTGACCATGGCACACTTGCCGTCATCACTCGCACCTTCTGCAAAGGTAGAAGGTGGACGCAAACAAATCGTCCTCAGTCTGGCAGTGTCTGGCAGAGTCTAGAAGCCAGCATAGAACCCAGCAAGCCCCTCGAAGCGGAAAAAACGTCTTCCAGATTGGGCGGAGAGCAAAAGCTAAAGCAAAAGCGAAAGCCAAAGCAAACGCTAAAGCAAAAGCTAAAGCAAAAGAAGCCGGCAATTGCCCAGTGGGCAACCTTTCCGCTTGAAGCTCCTCACAGCTCTGCCTTGGAGTCCTTCATCGCTCAAATGCGACTGCGATGGGTTGGCTTGGTGTTGCTCCCATGTCCACAAGATCATCTCCCTACCAGAATGCAAGTAACAGCACGTTCATATTCACAACATCCGCGAGAAACTGATGGCTTCCTGCGTGTGTGTGTGTAGTCGTGTTTGCGTGCAATGTTTCTTTCTTACAAAGCAACTATGTACATGCCAGTCAACGATCAAGGGAAAGTCATGTGTGCATGAGGATGACGGTAGTCACAAGTTTTCGAGAGAGCCTCGGAAGGAAACTGTGTTCCGCTTGTTTTTCCCAGTGTTGCTAGGAACGTACCCTACACCTTTCTCCAGCAAAAAAAATGCGGTTGGTGCTCTGTCAGGCATTTTCCAATCTTTCATCTAAAGAACAAACGCAGGCCGCCTGCCAACAGAATATTATCTGACAAGTTTCGTCGGTGCATCTCCCGCTTGAGACTTGAGCACGAGAGTGACTGCAACCTGATGACACGCCCAAGTTGCCAAAAGTGTGTGAACACGAACTCAGCGCAACATGGCCTGCGCTCCCAAAGCTGCACGGCCTAGCAACAAAAAAACAAGTTCCACCATGGCAGCGGCCTGTCAGTTGAGCTTAGCACCTTCCCAGGAGAGAAGCAACGGCTGCAGCGACCATTGCCGACTCCACCATGCTGGTGCTTCTAGGCCTGGGTACCTCAAACAAATGCGTGGTCCGAGTTGGTACGCTTTTCGGGTGGGTTCCAAGGAACACCAGATGGAAAGCAGCCATTGTTTGGGGGGTACCTCAATTGGCCTACCCAATGTTAACATGTTTTAGGTACATGGTCGAAGCCATGGTCGGCACTAAGGCAAAGGCATATCCACGATGTGGTCGCTGGAATCCAGCAAGGTAACATCCCAACGAGCCACCTTGCGCTTCTGGCAAAAAAAAGAAGGGGCACCCGGTTTCAGGTGGGTCGAAACGGAAACTATCCCTATGTTGACACATACCGTGACCCAGAACGTATGCCACTGGCTGAGTTCCTGAGCTTTCTCCTTGCACCGGTGCTAGCTCTTGCAGAAATTTTAAGTGCCGCACAGGGACCAGGCTGGGAATGAGCGGAGCAACCAAGGTGGCCTGCCGGTTTGCTGGCTGGAAAAGATCGACAGGGTCCTCCTGGCCTCCACAGCTAGCGATAGCAAGCCCTCCTGTACACCCGCCATCTCAAACCTCAAATCTCAGCTTCCCAGCTGGTGGTTTGGATTGATTTGGAGGTGTTCTGGGATGGTTTCCCCACAAGAACCCAAACCAAGCAACCACCAACTCAGGGCAACCTGAAAGACTCTCCCTGCGGGTGCCCATGAATCCGGGGAGCACAGCACGCGGAGCCCCCGAGGCGTTGCAAGGCTGCAGCTCCAAAGTCAGGCCAGCCCTCAGTCCGCGGGAAGACAGACCTACTGAACAAGAAATATGGCCATGGGTCAAAACCCAAATCGTACCCCCAGTGAACATCCCAATCCAACCACTAAAATCGGTTCTAACATGGGTGGTGAATTCACCTACCCCAAAATGTGGTACCATTGGTTTTGACCCACAGCCATATGGGCATGTGTCACAGCAGGGATTTGCCACCCCCCTCAAAGTGGGGCGGCTTTCCTTTTGGTATCCCTTTTAGAGCCAACCCAGAAATGGTTCTCTCAACAACAAACACACGTGCACCCAAACTGCTCAGAACTGAAGCAAAATAAATCCAACAAGCAGCAAACACACTTGAGGTTGCGACGGCAATTCCAATGCATGCCACCCTGCTTGCCGAAACCAAAGATCTTCTTCTTGCCTCCAGCCCTTCTCCTCGCGAGGGACTGCAGATGTTGCTGCGTTTGATCGTTTTTGTCGCTACAAGTCTACAGATTGGGGGTTTGGGGGTGCCCTTTTGTTGGAGCCGCAAAACAAGGAGCAGCTGCCAGAGTCAAAATAGAGTGATACGCTCCTGGTCCGGATCGCCCAGGTCGCATCGGAGAAGGGCTGCCTTCAAAATGCTTGGTCTCTCTGACATGCTCAGAGCAGGGCTCCTTAAAGGATACCTATGATACCTCCACACCACCTGCTTTACACGCGGGTCCTCTAAATCAGCCAAACCTGTCCGCACAAAGGAGCTCCCTCGCCTCCGCCGAACTCGCAGAACCTCAAGAAACAGCAGGGCTCTGACTTCCCATCTGACGTATCCTGACCGCAACACTTGCACCTTGCCTTATACGCAAAGAGCTGGTAATTATTGGACAATTTTAGTCCAAGTGTCCACGGTAGCTCAGCTCCAGGAAAGAGCGCGAACCGGCTGCGTTTAGATCCTCAGAGAGTCTCACGCACTTTGTGTTGCATGCTCGGGCGGATTTCTTCTCCCTTGGCCAAGCAGCAGCAAGAGCTCGTGCTGACACCTGCACCACACAAAGAGAAGTGGTGCACATGCAAGAAATGGCGTGTGCGCCGACATGGAGGATGCCTCCGGACTATGATAAGTCCCGGCAAAAACAAACACAGAAGCACAAGCAAATGTTACGATGCAAGTGCGGTTCTCGCCTGCGCAATACTTAGTCATGGCCTTTCAGTGTGCTGGCCAGATGCTCGCAGTCGGTTGCTTTGCAAGGGCAGTTTGAGTCGATTCACAGGTTGAGTTGAGCTCCTTTGTGCTGACGCGGTGAGGAGATCAAACTCTGTAGGAGGGCTCCAGCACAGTGATCAACTGGAATATATGTCTGGCTATGGCCATTCCAGTAGTATTGGCCCAGTCTTGAAGGCATTGATGTTCGCAGTCGTATTAGCATTGGTGCTGGCAAGGGCCCTCGTGCGCTTTGAATAGGAATTTGCGTTGTTTGGCTGTTGTGGGTCTTGACTTGATCTTCGCAGCACGCTGTGGGTGGCTTCCGACCCGGCGGGTAGAATTATAGTTAGGTAGTTGGTTACTTAGTTAGTTGGTAGTCTGTAGATAGTATTTGGAAATTTGTAGTTAGTAGTTCGGAGTGAGTGCTTGGTAATTGGTGGTTTCTAGTAGTTAGCCGTTCCAGCTCGACGTTAGTAGTTGTTCGTTTGCAGTTGGTAGTTAGTAGGCAGTAGTCAGTAGTGTCGCCGTCGTTGTTGTGGGGTAGTAGCAGCAGTGTTGTTGTTAGTGGTAACAATACTAGTAGTAGTAGTAGTAGTAGTAGTAGTAGTAGTAGTAGTAGTAGTAGTAGTAGTGTGGTGGTGGTGGTGGTGGTGGTGGTGGTAGTAGTAGTAGTAGTAGTAGTAGTAGTAGTAGTAGTAGTAGTAGTACGGTAAGAATACTAGTAGTAGTAGTAGTAGTAGTAGTAGTAGTAGAAGTAGGAGTAGGAGTAGGAGTAGGAGTAGGAGTAGGAGTAGGAGGAGCAGCCGCAGCAGCAGCAGTAGCAGTAGTAGTGGCAGTAGTAGTAGTAGTAGTAGTAGTAGTAGTAGTTCTGGTGGTATTGATTGTTGTTGTTGCTGCTGTTGCTGCTGCTGCTCATGGTGGCGTTCTTGATGATGTTGTTGATGTTGTTGTTACTAAGTCGTTGCTGTTTTCTCTGCTGCTGCTACCACTGTTGCTGCTCCCGTTGCTGATGCTCTTTTTGTTGCAGCAGGTGCTGTTGCGGCTGCTGTTGCGGCTGCTGTTGCTGTAGCTCTTGCTGTGGTTGTTGCTGTTGCTGTTGGTGCTGTAGTCGTTGTTGTTGTTGGTGGTGGTTGTGGTGGTTGTTATGGCTGTTGTTGTCATGGCTGTGATTGTTCTTGTTGGTGGTGGTTGTGGTGGTTGTGGTGGTTGTGGTGGTTGTGGTGGTTGTGGTGGTTGTGGTGGTTGTGGTGGTTGTGGTGGTTGTGGTGGTTGTGGTGGTTGTGGTGGTTGTGGTGGTTGTGGTTGTGGTGGTGGTGTGGTGGTGGTTGTGGTGGTTGTGGTGCTGGTGGTTCTGGTGGTGCTGCTGGTGGCGGCGGCGGTGGTGGCGGTGATTGTTGCTGCTGCTGTTGCCGCTGCTGTTGCTGCTGCCGTTGCTGCTGCCGCAGCTGCTGTGATTGTTGTTGCTGTTGTCTTGCTCTTGCTCTTGCTCTTGCTCTTGCTCTTGTTATTTTTCTTGTTGTTGCTGCTACTGCTGTTGTGGCTGTTGCTGTTGCTACTGCTGTTGTTGCTGTTGCTGTTGCTGTTGTCGTGGCTGTGGTCGTGGCCGTGTTGTCATCGTGGTTTGTCATCGTGCTTCTGGCTGTGGCTGTTCTTGTTCTTGTTCTTCTTGCTGTGGTTGTCGTTGCCGGTGTTGTTGTAGCTGTCGCGCTGTTCAGTTCGGGCCACAGAATCAGAAGGACAAGTGGACTGACACCTTACTAACCTTCATTGACCCCCTTCATTGACCTGAATTGGTTCTCAGGTGGCAACGAAACGCCTGTACGGAGAGCTTCAGGGTTACATTGCCCTGCACCGGGGCATACTCAAGGGCTGCCACCTCACGTTGCGTCTCTCTCCTGCAAATGACCCCCAAAATGCGCCACGTCTAGAGGTTCTGGGGGACCCCCAAAACAGGATTCCCGTTTTTGATTTCCCAAGATATACTTGAACTAATGGGTGGTTGATTCCCCCAAAAGGAGAACAACATGGGGAAGTCAAAAGAGGGAAGCCTGCCCGTATGATGCCTGTCAATTGGACTTAGGACCAAACCATGGGTGTGATGCCGTAGTCTTCATCGGTGTAGCCCCATCCAACCTTGTCTGTCAAGCTGACTGCTCAACAAATGACCTAGGCTGCAGCAGGTATTCACTCATCTGGCCTCCGCACCATCTTGCCCGACACGACCAATCGCAAGCCATCGGTTCCTCAAGGCGATCAAGCATCTTGCGCTAGCAATCTAGCCTCTCTCATAGTCCCCTTTTCAGCTGAAGGGAAAGCAAAGGAAACTATCCAGTTGGGGAGGTTTCCGATTTTCCAATTGAGAAAGAAACCTACACAAATGAAAGCAGCATTCAGAAGTACTTGCCACTGCCACGAGAGTCCACTCATCCGGGTCCGTGCTGGCGGGGTTGTGCCTTGACAAATCATTCAGTACAAATCCGCCTCTCGACTTGTGCAAAGTGAGCCGCAATCAAAACCTGTTGCTAAAGGATCGACCCCTAAGCTTCATGTCCCCTGGTTTTGATTTTGGCGCACGTGGATCTGTCTAAACATTGGCATTCCCGTTCAGATTCCATTTAGAATCCCTTAAACAAAACTCCAAAAGGGCACCCTCAAAATAAGCACATGTCAGTCAGCTGAGTGCCCCGCACTCGAATGAAGATATCATCCATCCGTGATCTCTCAACCGTAGCCGCCGATGTGAGCGTAAGGGTTACGTTCTTGCGACCCTCCTCAGTCACACGGATCGAATGCACTCCGTTCACGCGGAGTTTGTGCTTTCCGCTGGGAATCCGGCTTGGGGCTGCGCAAGACAGCTCAGTATGCTGCGGCTCGATGACGCCAAGCAGTTGGCCGGAAAAGTCACTCCCACGGGAGCCACCAATTCTACCTGCCATTTCCTGCGTTACTTGTCGGCCGAAGAAGCTCAAACCAGGCGGCAACACGTGGGTCACCTCCGCTCCACCGGGATCAAGACTGACTTGGAGGACAACCTCCGGCCAGGCATCTCTCTCTGCAAAAAAAAGAGGCGCGCGACGACGAGTCGCCGACCATCATTCCAACTCCCGCTTTGTAGAAACAAGTAATCCCTTCCCCCTAACAATTACACCCCCCCCCCTATCTAAAAAAAATCCCTCCCTCCCACTGTGCAAAAGAACAACCCACAAGAGCTGCGGTCCCCATCCGCTTTCATCGCGCCTCGGAATTTGGTGCGACGGAGACCTTGCGTCCGGAGTCCCTTTAAAGGGAATGGGAGGTTTGTGGCCAGTCCCCTCCAGTCTTTCTCAGGAAAACGTGAAGCCAGAAAAAGGATTCCAGTCCGTGAATTCCACTTTTCAGGAATGACTATGATGACTGTATAGATGTATTTGATCAAATGGCCGGCCAGAAACGCCTAGTCTCTATGGCAACATCAACCTGCCTGGAAAACACAATGATGCCCTGGTAGATGGAATAAACCCATCTAAACCAGTGCCTTCTATTTTTCACCACACTCACCTAAAAAAGGTGTCCTATGTTCCCAACAAAACGCCATCACCCGTTGTTTTTTTGGTTTCGGCCTGGCGGGGGAGTTGCAGCCCAGCTGTGCAGATCTGAAGGCACCCGTGTGCTTAGCACCTGCCATTTAAACCTGATGTGGCTCACTTCCGACAGCGACATTCTCGCGCGCTGGGGCTACGTTGGCACGTAGCTTGTTTCAGCTGCGGCATGCCTGTTTCGTGCAGCATGGCTCTATTTTCTGGATGTCCAAAGGCGGACGTAAGCCCCGGATTTCGTTTCGCAGGGGGAGAAAAAAAGTGGGCTTCAGTCTTCCAAACATGGAGCCAACTTCTGAGGCACCGGCTGGCGAGACGAGAAAAGTAAAGGTGCTGGCCAAGGGAAGTGCTGGAGCGAACTGGCCGTCGTTGCTGCCTCAAATACTGCCGGCCCAAACATACTGTGGGGGCGGGGGAAAAGCGGGTTCAAAGTTTCCCTCTTTGTTGATATCCCCTTTAGGCGGTGCAGGCATGCTTTTGACGGCCCAGGTTGTTGCTTGTGTCTTCTTTGCTTTGCTTTTTTTGTCTGGGGTGAGGGGGGAGGGTGTGAGTGAAAACATGCTATGCAAATCTGATCTAAGGCCCAAGCTGACGGTGACCCGCGTCAAATTTGGAAGCATCTCCTGCAAATTAAAGCACGTGTCAATCCATGAGGTTTAGGCCCCAGAACGAGTCAACAAGAGCAAAGAGATGCACAAAGGTCTTCGTATCACAGGTGTCCTTTTTGGTCAAGAGTTTGCACAGGACAATGATGAACACCAAACTGGAACCAAATAAATGTATCAATCAAACAAACTGACCCGCATAACAGATCTCAATAACAACAACAACACTGATATCAATGTTCGTATTCATAGGAAACAATGACTCTGATAATGAGCATTATATTATCAACGTTATGCATAATCCCAATAGTACTTGTAATGATAATAGCAATAATGATGCAGCACAGAAATCTACAAACGCAGCCCCGCAGCCCCCAGGACGACCCACCCTCCAATAAAGACGATACTACTAATCACAATGATAATAGTGATAATAATAATGATCATAATAATAATTGGAATAGTCTTAATTGAAATATATTTTAAAAAAAAATACATCACGGTAATAATATTCGTAGCAATGATAACAGAAACATAATAGTGCTAATGATGATGATAAGCATACTATCAATAATAGCAATAACACTGGAACCACCAATAATAGCACCTATGACGTCCCACAAGGCACCAATAATAGCACCTTTCTGCCGCTGTCCTGCACTTCCAGGGTCCAGGCTGGAAAGGCTCCTTGCGGGGCATCGGCCCATGAGCCCAGTGAAGTGGTTGCATTGGGGGGTACTCAAAATTTCTGCTTTTGAGGGATTCCCTTGAAAAAACCAGCATCTAGCTGAATCTATCTCAGATCCACTTGATTTGCTGAGGCTGGGAACCGCCGTTTTAAACCACCGGCTAGCTCGGTTGGAGGAAAACCTTAAAATGGGGCCATGAGCTTGGGTCACTCCAGCCTTCAGGGAGAGCTGGAAAGACCGCCTGGACCTCAAAGCACGCTGACGACTGGAGGAACGGGGTTCGGTTTCTCTGAACAGGGGAATTGCGAACTCATGCCACCTCTTACATTGCCCACATCACCAAGTGTTCAATGTTTGAAGACTTTACTTTCATGGACTGATGAATATCTGTGCAAATCAGCGGACTCGCAAATCATGGGCGCCTCGAGTTCACTCTCGAGGCTGGCGGTGATGTTGCAAAGGACTTCCACCACCAACTCCCCGGCGTCTTGTGTCGCGGAGGTCCTGCCCGTTTCAAGCGCCAACCAAACCGAGTCATAATTGCTGATTGAAGGGGACTAGTCACTTGGGGGCCTTTAAGGACTAGTAATGGGCAATATTGGAGGAAACCGGGCAAAGCCGAGAGAACAGCTTCCCGCCTGGAACAGGGATTTTGTGAATGCGACAGCATCATCTCCTCAGGTTGCCGGAAACGCTGCCAACATTTCTCAATTTTCACCTCCCTGGCCCCTATACAAAAAGGCTTATATCCGGGTCCTGGGTGTGGGATGTGGTTGGTGGGGAGTGGAAACTGTTGACGGTCCTTAGACTTTCCAGCATCTTTGATTCTTTTTGGTGTGGTTTGGGGTTAATCAAAGAGGAAGCTTATGGAAGCTTCTCATGTTGGGTGCTTTGATACAGCCCCGGGGTGGTTCTCAGCTTTTGGGACTCGGAGGTTGCCTGTTGCGGAAGTAAAACTATCCTAAAAGGGTCCCTGTCTTCACGCAAACCGTGCTATGTTTCACAACGGGGATTTGGGCACCCCCAAAAAATATTCAGGGGGGAGTTATGCTGTGGTGCTTCCACGGTTTCTGCAGTGAGATCCAGTGCAATCAATCTGCAAGCGGTGGATGCCAGATCGCCCTCGCCTGCAGGAGCACGCTCTCCACGGCCAGCCGGAAGAGCTGGCCAGCGCTGGCATCCAACTGGAGGCCTCGTCAAGTCGCTTTGCTTCGTGGATCGCCCGAAATCTGCGATACCAATATGAGCGTGAACTTTGAGTGGGGACCTTGGTGGACATCAAAATTCGGTAGGGATTCATGTCCACACACCACTTCGCAGGCGATCAATCCCCGATTGAAATTCACAGCCATATTAATATGGGTCATTCCCATGATGAATATCAATTCGGGGATTCCCTTCTCACCGAAAGTGGGCCTAAAACCCGCCCTTTCTGCACAACCACGGTTCGGTATGGGTAGGTGTGTGCATGGTTCGGTTTGGACATGGTATGGTTCTACGATACTAGGATAACCCGAACTTAAGGGTTTGGTTTGTATGGTTGATGGTTTGGACATGCATGGGTCATACGCTCAATTTTGGCCGGAAGGAACCCAAAAGCCGATCCAAGTTTGGTTGAATCTCTGTTTGGGCATTCCCTTCTAGAGGGGATCCGAATGGATCACTTTTTAGAGGGCAGTTTCCATGTAGATCTGGGGTCGACCTTCCGCTACACAAGTTCGGTGCGCTCGGCATCCGGGCTGATATGAACCGAGGTGAGTCTTCCAAGCCGGGCTGGGCGAGGGCCAAGCAAAACTTGAGCAACCTCAGAGGAAGCCACGGCGTAGCAAGCAGGAAACGAGACCTTGGCCACCCTTTCGCCCCTTGGGCGGATTTGATTCAGGTCGAGGACTATTGGAGAGTGGTTGGCATGCATATTCTGCATGCCTGATTTGTATGATTAAGAACAGCGCGGGATGAAGGCCATCATCTTGCCGCAGCACTCGGAAATTGCTCGCCTGATGCAATTGGAGAAGGCCCAGTCGGGTGTTTCTCAATATGAACCCTCTTTTGGGTGTGCGGGAAATCAAAAGGAAACAGGCAATTCCTTCCGGGGCTCCCTGTTGTGAGAAACACCCCAATGAAAGCAATGACCGGCCTCAATGTTGCTGACCACGGAGAAAGACGGTGTCACCTCACGGGCGCGGATACGAGACTCGAGAAAGCCGTTGCTAGCCATCGGCTAGCCATGTCTCTGGGACCTGCGCGGGCCCGCTGTTGCTCAAGCGGTCGGCGATGTAGGTGTGAACCTTGGCATTCCCCGCCCCGGTTGACACGGCGGAACACATTTGGCAGTGGCTCAAAATTAAAGAGCTAGGGTTACGCAGGTTTTGGTCCATTTTTCCACTTACCAGGGTTCCATTTTGGTGCCGGTTTTTTGAACCATACCCATTTGACTGCACCAACTCCCGGCTCTCGGTGACCCAAACGACTCGAACTGGTTCTCCGAATGTGCGACTAATGGGATTGGCTTTTGGTGTGCTTAGAAAACAAAGAAACACATGAGGGCTCCAAAATTTTGAGGCGACGCCCTTTGGTGAAAATTCCCTTTGAGACGAACCCCGCTGGTTTCACATTGTCGTCCAAGCGCGCCTGAAAGCCAACGGCTCCGGCTGCGTCAGGCAGGCGAACCTCGTCCAGCGTTATGGTGTAGCGCCTGGGAGCCCATGGTGCCGTGAGGGGCGCAGAGGATGCCCTTTTCAACTCGGCTTGAAGCGAACCACAAACACCCACCCCGAAATCGGGGAGGCCCCTGGGTCTCTGCCTTTGACACTGCCTTTGCTCTACAGGACATGGCTTTGCTCCAAAAGGACATACCGCAAAATGCTCCCCTGGTTTTGTGCGGAGACTTCGTGAGTTCCCCTGGTTTCTAAATGAACCCAACCTCGGAAGTGCTCTGCCTGAGCGCGCCACATGTCTGCCACCATGGCGGCTGCTCTGCTGCAGATCCAGGTTTTGTTCGGATCCACCGGGACTTCGCGCAGCTCCAAGAACGTGCCTGCAATCAAATTCCAACTGCCAAACATATGGAAGCCTCGCCAAGCCTGCCAGGTCTCCCGCCGTCTCCATTGAAGCAAGCCTGGGCTTTTCTCAGCAACCAACTTTTGTTGGGGGGCCCTATGTTTTACCATCCACAGTATGAGCCAGCAAAGCTGTAAGGATATGAGTGTGGTTCAAAATAGGGTGACCTCAAAACCCTCATGCCCATCAACGCCTTGTTCTTCAAGGCCTTCATGAGGTAAGTCCAATGCAGCTCAGCAACACTTGGGAGAAGTCAAAGTCGTCAGGCTGTCTCGCCTGTGATGGCTTGCGGGGAAAGGGACGGAAGGGGTTGTTTCCGGTGAGCTTCGTTCCTTCCTGGGTTTGGCCGTTGATGTTTTTTGGTTTAATGCGGAATTCTTGTTGATTCGGCGGCCATGAAGTTTGTTTGCACTTCGGAGTGCTGCCAGAGATAGAGAGCGGGAAGTTGTGTTGTTTGTAGGGGGTCGGGACCAAGTGGATTGAGGACGGGCTTAAAATGGCTTGAGATTGGTTTGGGTCGGGGTGGTCGAAGCCATTGTTCCCCAAGGCGTTTGGATATGGAATAGTATGGAATGGCCACCCATGAATCGAAACTGAGACTTGGCTACCTTGCATAGAGGCTCTTGGTTTGTATTGGAACAGTAGCCTAACAACCGTTATCAGTGCATGAGCCACGGTCAAGAATGATGTGTTCCCCCAACATGGAAAGTTAGGGTTTGCCTCCTGGTGGGGAATTTAGAGCTCGTCCAGGTCCCTCCCAAGCTTGCAATAGACAAATCCAGACGGTTTCACCGAATCAAAGAACGACGCCAACTGGCACCTCGAGCTCCCAACGATCAGCAGCGACACGTGCGCCGAAGGAGACACGCAGCTGGACCGGAAAAGCCCCGGCTCGCCTGGCACTTAGCGACTGCCGAGCCCAGGCCTGGGTCCATGTGAGTGTTTTTTCGAGGCCCTTGTCACCTTCTTCCAAAGGACTTCAAAAGGAAAATCGCCCCCCCTAGCTTTTGACACATACCCAGTTTAGCCAGACATCCTCCAAAATCACCCAAGTGGTCAAAGAACCCCGAACCCCCTCAAGTGACTCTCTGCGGCCTGAAGGTCGACAGAAGCTCCAAGCGCGGCCTCGGTCACTAGCAGCTCAACTGAAGGATGTGTACCATGGGGGCAAAGCAAAAACAAGACAAATGGGTGCGTTCTTTTTTGGAGGATACATTCTTAAGGTGGTCTTAAAAAACAACCAAACCGCAAATATCATTGGGAGCCCCCCCCCCATTTTAAGGCACACCCACTGCTTCTGCAAGACGCTGGCCTGAGAAAACAAGAAGCTGGTAGAAGCAAATTAGATGCTTCTGAAAGTCTCTGTGGTCACTGGGGAAGAGCCCGCGTTGCTGCAAGGCTTGTCTGCCTTTGGCAAGCAGGAAGTCGAGAAATCACGCACAGTCATCCAACGTAATCGTGACGTGGCCAGACTCAGCAGCAGCACCCTTCTTGCTGCATCCAGTGTTGAACCACGTTGAACCGGCTGCACGCAGCGTTGAATCTGCCGCGCCCGGCGTAAAATCTGCAACGCACGAACTGCACGCTGCGCAGCCAGGCAACTTGCCAGCAGCCTTGATTCCCCAGCAAATTGCGACTACACGCTGTGAATGCGACTTGCAAAGCCACACAAAGCATCTGGCAGACTCTGGCGACGGCCTTGCGAGCCGGAGTGGTTCGTTTGTCAGCTTCTTGCGAAGGGATGAGCTCTGTGGCCTCTGGGCTAAGCCACCCATGACGTGCTTTTGCAGCCTCACAGAGCTGCGCAAGGACTTTTTCCACATCGGGATGAGGTGAAGAGCCAAGGACGAAAGTGGAAGGGACCTCGCCTCGGTGCAGGCTCGTGTGTCCGCCTCTTAGACTTGTCCCCCTTTCTCCGCGTAATGTCCACCCTCGCCTAGAGGTCTCGCCCCGCGCCCCGTTTTCACAGACATTACGCTCCAGCGCTGCCCCCCGTGGAGGGAAGAAGAAACGCAATGAAACAGACTTTGCCCCATCAGCGGCACGATCAATACAGTCTCGAGTTGAATGATCCGCTCCGTTCTCCCCGGCCCACTTCCGCCACATGTCAGTCCATCCAGTCCCCGCGCCAAGAAATTCAGCTTCCGCCGCACTGTCCTTCTAAGATACTGCCACAAAATGAAGCACGGCCTAAACAGTTAAATCCGTGCGCGTCCAGGATTGAATGCGCCTGCGATTTCAAAATTGAATGCGCTCGAGCCCGTGACCCGGCATGCGCACCTAATGTCTTTAGTATATGCGCCATGTAGAGCTAGTCTGTAGTGAGTATATGTGGCTTGCCTACCCCACAAACCGCAAAAAAGGGCCAGGGGCTCATATCAATGGCCCATACACTTCCTTTGAACTGACAGAAGTGTAGGTCCCTTAAGGCCCCGACTCCTTCACGCGAGGAACTATGATCCAGGACATTGCGTGGCCGCCTGCATGCATTCATGCATTCACGCGTCCCTCTAGTTGATGCTTTGGATTGGCAGTTTGGACGTCGGGGGTGGGGTTGCCTATTATCCCTCTACAAGAACCAGCGGTTCACATCCCCAACACCAATCGAAACCAGTAACCAAGGGTCTCCTGACATATCCGGGATGGGGGAGGGGGGCCAAATGTTGAGTCCCAAGTTCAAATGGCTGTGGGTCAAAAATGGGCACCCAAAATGGGTTGCCCTGGTACATGGAAAGGACTAAAACCTGTGGTCTGGTGGTTTCATTTTGAGCCACACCCAGATGGGATCCGTTCGCTCTCTGCGTCCAAGCCTTCGGCCAGGGATCCGTTTCGCCCAATGGCGACGGACCAAAAGTTGTCCTGGCGAAGCCTGTCTCTGTCCGCCTTGTCTGCCCTTCGAGCTTTATCAGGGCACATTCTTTTCACCCGAGAAGAACCAAAGGAGCTTCTCTAATCAATAGCGGGTCAAAGGTATCTAAACAACATGCCCGTGGCACGCTCAAGTCCTCTTCAGCAGGCGGAAGGCTGGAACTGAAGGCCTGTCGGCTCGCTTGATTTCAGCTTCATGGCCGGCTACCAAAATGGTTCTTAAAACCATTCCAAGAACCTCTTCTAAGAAGGGTCTCAGTTTCCTGGGTGTGGGGTCTTTTCTTGCTGCCCCAGTGTTGACCTCATACTTAGAACCCCCAGCGAAGTGGCATAATCCCAAAACGTATTTGGAAACCCCTTCTTGCCAATCTGGCTCGGCCAAGGAAATCCAGAAAGCTAAAAGGAGTATTGAACGACGGCGCTGACTGCAGGTGGGATCCGCCGGAAGTTTCTATCTGCAGGCCCCACCTTACCACCTTGGCAGGGTTTGGGGTGAGGGGGGAGAGGCGTGAGGGGTTTCTAAAGATCAGGTGGGCATTTCTAAGCCCCTCATGTATGCCCCTGCAAAGCTTCTGCGCAAAGAATATGTCCGCAAAATAAGAGCATGTATCATGCATGTTTTTGCTGGCCTGAACGTCCAGCAGTAGCATTCCGTCCATCAATGCTGACCTTGACATGACATGGGCTTGTGTCTGTGTGCGCGTGCTTTTTGCTGTGTTTTGTGCGAGCGCTTCTTGTTGTGTGTGTGTATGTGTGTGTGTATGTGTGTGTGTATGTGTGTGTATGTGTGTGTGTGTGTGTGTGTGTGTGTGTGTGTGTGTGTGTGTGTGTGTGTGTGTGTGTGTGTGTGTGTGTGTGTGTGTGTGTGTGTGTGTGTGTGTGTGTGTGTGTGTGTGTGTGTGTGTGTGTGTGTGTGTGTGTGTGTGTGTGTGTGTGTGTGTGTGTGTGTGTGTGTGTGTGTGTGTGTGTGTGTGTGTGTGTGTGTGTGTGTGTGTGTGTGTGTGTGTGTGTGTGTGTGTGTGTGTGTGTGTGTGTGTGTGTGTGTGTGTGTGTGTGTGTGTGTGTGTGTGTGTGTGTGTGTGTGTGTGTGTGTGTGTGTGTGTGTGTGTGTGTGTGTGTGTGTGTGTGTGTGTGTGTGTGTGTGTGTGTGTGTGTGTGTGTGTGTGTGTGTGTGTGTGTGTGTGTGTGTGTGTGTGTGTGTGTGTGTGTGTGTGTGTGTGTGTGTGTGTGTGTGTGTGTGTGTGTGTGTGTGTGTGTGTGTGTGTGTGTGTGTGTGTGTGTGTGTGTGTGTGTGTGTGTGTGTGTGTGTGTGTGTGTGTGTGTGTGTGTGTGTGTGTGTGTGTGTGTGTGTGTGTGTGTGTGTGTGTGTGTGTGTGCGTGTGTGTGTGCGTGTGGGTGCGTGTGTGTGGGTGTGGGTGTGGGTGTGGGTGTGGGTGTGGGTGTGGGTGTGGGTGTGTGTGCGGGCATGTGTGTGTGTGTGTGTGCGTGTGTGCGGGCATGCGTGCGTGCGTTCGCGCGTGTATGCGTAGGTGGGTGGGTGCGTGGGTGTGTGGGTGTGTGGGTGTGTGTGTGTATCTCTGTGTGTGTGTGTCTCTGTGTGTGTGTGTGTCTGTCTGCATGAGTGTCTGCGTGTGTCTGCGTGTGTGTGTCTCTGTGTGTGTGTCTGTGTGTGTCTGTGTGTGTGTGTCTGTGTGTATGTGTGTGTCTGTGTGTCTGTGTGTGTGTGTGCGTGTCTGTGTCGGTCTGTGTGTCAGTGTGTCAGCGTGTGAGTGTGACGGTGTGTCAGTGTGTCTGTGTGAGCATTGTTGCCTGCATCTGTGTGTGTGTGTGTATGTGTATGTGTATGTGTGTGTACATGTGTATGTGTGTATGTGTGTATGTGTGTATATGTCTGTCTCTCTGTCTCTCTGCATCTCTGTCTCTATGTCTCTCTGTCTCTCTGTCTCTCTGTCTCTCTCTGTCTCTCTCTGTCTGTCTGTCTGTCTGGCTGGCTGTCTGTATGTCTGTCGATCTGTCTGTCTGTCTGTCTGTCCGTCTGTCTGCTTGTGGGTGTGAGTGTGTGTCTGTGTGTCTGTGTGTCGCTGTGTGCGTGCAATACCTCCGACACGCTGAGGCTGTGCTGAGAGGCCTGCCAGGATGAATTGATGTACAGGTTCAAGGTTCGTGCGAAACATGTAGCCTGGCAAGATGCTGACTATGACATACGTAGTCCAAACAATAAACACGACCATCCAATTCTCATCCAAGTTTCATCCCGCGCGGCTGCTTGCAATAAGCGTGCTTGTTGCCGATCCTTGGCTCCATGTAATCTAACGGAAGCTGGACCATTTCTGCTAGCGTAACAAAAACATGTGAGCTTCGCAATTCTGGTCAGCACTTGCAGCTCCGCGCTGGTCCCTTTGCCTACGACGCCAAGCGTCGCAGCTTACATCAGCAGGAATTGAATCTGTAAATACGTCCACGTGCCTCGTCTCCGGCCGCGAAAACTTGACTGACTTTGCACTCCATGGACACTTGAGGTGCGCCCAAAACTGATTGACTTTTGTTTCCACCAAAATGTTTATAGAGATCCTTATGCACCTACCAGCTTTGCCAAGGGGGGGGGTTCGGACACAGCTCACTTCCTATCTCAATCCATTTTGCTCTTCTGCCGCACGGTTGGAACAGACTGATGCTGTTCGCGCAAAACTGGAGTCATTCCCACTGAAGGAATGGTTCCCACTGAAGGAGGCTTCGCAGCTGGTGCCTTGCAAACTAGCAGCTGCCTTAGAGCACTCGCTTCCCAGCTTGCTTTACAGGGCTGCCAGGGAATCAAACCGAATTCGACTTGCAAGTTATGGATCTAGATCTGAGGAACTAATTTAAAACAGAGTCCATGCACAAGTTGAGGATCTCCTGCTTCTCGGATCTGCCAGGGGATCAAATTGAAGGGTTCCTGCACGTCAAAGATCTACGCAGGTGATATGTTTTCCAGCCACAGCGCTCGACAAGATCAGGCCGCACACGCCAATCGTCGCGACGGTTCCGACGCCGAGCAAAGCGCCCGCACCATGGCGCTTGTCCAAAGGCACATTGACGGCGTCGCCGATGTATCTGTAAGCCATGGTGATTAAGTATCCTGCACGACCGCGCAAAACGTGAACTGAAACAACCAGCCATGGAACCCACGATAAAAGGGGATGCCAAATTGGAGGTCGAAATTAGAGGCCCGGTGGCGGCGGCAGGGTCCAACACCTCCTAAAAGTCTGTTGAAACAGTTGCTGCTCCCCATTCCCTGCCAGGGTTGGACGCCCTTGTTTTTGGGTGGAACTTGTAGAACTGTTGGCAAGTCACAGTGGACATCGCAATATGTGTTACAAGCAGATCTGATTCGGCCAAAGTGAGCAACCAAAAGGAGATGCGAGTTGTGTTTTACTGAGGGTCCCCATTTCTTGGTGGTTTTGAATGGGTTTTACCAAAAGGAAGCCACCCGTTCCGTTGGTAGTCCCCCTATTTTGCCGGCATACCCATGAAAAGACGCATCCTTCGGAAGCGCCGCAGAAGGCGAAGGACACGATGAAGAGGGCCTGGCCGGTTTGGCTCATCCACATGCTGCGCCCAACTCCCAGGGATGCGAGGGTAACCAACAGGCATGAGACATACTGCAGGAGGCAGAGGATGTAGAAAATCCAGCGTGGGCATGCTGAGATGGAGGACAGTAGAGATCCAAATGGCACCAGTATCTGCGAGAGTGTCAGGGATGTGCGCCAAATGAAGCGCCCAGTGTCGCCCTCGCAGGATTCCGGATCGCACATTTCAGCGCCGATCTCGCCCAGATTTGGTGCAATGGCCCATTGGGTGATCTGGGTCACAACCGCCGCTAGGATCACAAGGCCAAGTTCCCTTGGGCATGCCAAACTCGCCATGGGACCCGGCTCTCGTGTGCACTCCGGCTCCTCGCTGGAAGTCCCAGTGCTGGAGTCGAAACCTGCCTCATCGGCAATGTCTTCGCTCTCATAGGACTTGTCGCCCTTGCCAGGAAGGTCTCTCAATCCTTGAATGTTTGTTGCTCCCTTTCTACAAGTTTGGAGCGAGACAGGTCATTAGACTCTATCGGCTTGGGATGGGTGTGTCTCTTCTTTCTGGTGGAACCCTCTTTTTGTTGTAAACTCTAAGGAACGGTATGGCTGGGAGCTGCCAAGAATCCAATGCCGTGCTTCAGGATCATCGCCCAAGACACCAATCCCATGCAGCTGATCAAAGCGTAGAAAACGAACAGGAGCCATCTTAGTTTCAAAAACAAGCGAACCGAAGCGGAAAGCATGCATGACCTTCCATGCAGCACACGGACACACATACTTCTCTAATATTCACACCACTATCATGTGAGCAGCGCCCAAAACCCATTGACTTGTTTTCCCTTGTTTTTCTACCAACATGGTTGGACAGGCTTACAATAGCCCTTACTATAGTCTGTATGAAACCAGGAAACCCCCTACTAAAATGGCCGATATAGGCGTTGGGCGCTGCTCATGCTACCTTTGAGATGACCGCTGGCCTGGTTTATGGCCGAGGCACGTTGGATATCTCTGCGTTGTACCGTCAGTGCTTTGCGTCTCTGCCAGCAGAGCTGAAATCATACCTTGGCATTGCAGCTTGAGTTCACACCAAAAGATTTGGGCTTGTCTCAAAATAGGATTTGGACCCAAATAGTGAGTTTTCTTTTGGTTTCCCTTCGACCAACCCAACAATTAACGATACCCAGATATGAGCCACGGTGAAAATTTGGCGTCCCCTTGCGGTTGGAAATTAGTGGCTCATTGTTCTCCATGTCTCCCAAATGGACCCTAGACGCAACAGGACATGTTGACCAAATATATACATCATATACGTATATATATAATGTGTTTGAGGGTCCCTTTTTTGGGATTCTAAAGGAAGCCAAAAGGGAAACCACTGTTGGGGTGCCCCTGCCATTTTGACACAAACCTCATTTCCAGCGCGGAGTAGCTAGAGAGGTCCGTGCCAGCGCGAACCGGTGCCACCAACCATCCACCGTAAAATGTGGAGATCAGCCTCGCACGCGAGGCGCTGAACACTTGAATGGGTATGCATTTTCGGCGGGACCCTTTGGTGGACAGGGTGAGATTTATGCCATTAATAAAGACTCAAAGCCAAATAAAGCTATGGTCAAAGACTATTTCTGGCACAGGATCCCCAGTTCTGGACTATTTGAGGGCTAGAGATCCCATTGCAGAAGTGGTCTTTGATGTTGACTCAATTTCCAGCGACGTATGTTGAGCTTGACAGAATCACTGTGAAGCCTTTGATGGGCTTGCTGCAAGGCAGAACATACATTTCAAACATCGGCATGCTGTTACTGGGTTCATAAAAGTGACATCCTCAAAATGACCCTCGAAAGCTACATCGCGGCTTCAAAGGCCACCCAAAAGTAGTTGTGAGAACCCCTCCAAATGCAATGACTTTCAGTGGGACCCAGTTCTATGCTGTTGAGAGCTACGGAAAGAGCAGCAGGATGGAGCCGTTCCCCACAATGGCACCAGTGGCTGAACATATGAGCACCACAGGATAGCCTGGCGCAACTCCGCGATATGGTTTGAGATATGGGCTGGTCTCAAAGTATAAGTTTTGGAACTGCTCCAAATGGGCGGTACTGTTTGGTTTCCCCTTGCATACCAAAATTTACACACCAATGTTCTACACAAGTGCATCTGGGTTGTCACCTCAAAATGCAAGCATGACTTGTCTGGGAGTCACACATCTGGGTGTCTCTTTTTTCTTGATTGTAGCCAAAACGAAAACCATTCTCGGGGCGAAGAGGTTCGAATGGGTGTTCCTCAAATTGGGGGGGAACCCAAGATAGGTTTCGATGTACCCCAAACACGAGATCAAATTCTCATGCGCAACATTCTAGGGGCTGATTCTCCATTCTTTTCAACCATCGCTCTTTTCAAAAACCGGCTGTTTCCCCTGGGTTTTTGATGGTTTCCTGAAAAGATCCGGATCCCTGGAAAGAATGGAAATGGAAGGTACCCCTAGATCCAAACACATCTCACCCCAAAACTAGACCACGGTTGGCCCGAAAGCAGAACATCGCAAGCGAGGTCGGCCCAACGCTGCAGGATGCGTTCTTTTTCCCTACACGAAGCATTCGTGAAGCAAGCGCGAGACAGCACCAGGCAAGGTGCTCTGCGCAAACTGGTCGGTGCAAGTTGGTCTGCGCAAGTTGCTCTACGCAAGTTGCACTGTGCAAGTTGCTCTGCGCAAGTTGCTCCGCGCAAGTTGCTCCGGCAAGTTGGTCCCTGCAAGTGGCTCCCTGCAAGTTGCTCTGTGCAAATTGCGCTCCCTGCAAGTTGCTCTGTGCAAGCTGCTCTGTGCAAGTTGCTCTGTGCAAGTTGCTCTGCGTAAGTTGCTCTGCGCAAGTTGCTCTAGGCAAGGCGCTCTGCGCAAACTGGTCGGTGCAAGTTGGTCTGCGCAAGTTGCTCTGTGCAACTTGCTCTGCGCAAGTTGCTCTGCGCAAGTTGCTTTAAAATGCAAGTTGCATCTTGCGACGCCCGCCCGCGGACCAGGGAGGAATCGAACCCGCGACCCGCCGGTTCCGGGAGCAGGCGCGCGAACCACGAGACAACTCCCGAGGACCAGTTCGAACAACAAAAGTCGCAAAAACCTCGAGTTTTTGCACCTCCACCACGCCGATTCCCGCAGAGGGTTGCGCGAGCACTGTAGAAATCGCAAAAAACCTCGAGTTTTTGCACCTCGACCACGCCGATCCCCGCAGAGGGTTGCGCGGGCACCGCAGAAATCGCAAAAAAAACCATGGGTTTTTGCACCTCGACCACGCCGATCCCCGCAGAGGGTTGCGCGAGCACCGCAGAAATCGCAAAAAACCTCGAGTTTTTGCACCTCGACCACGCCGATCCCCGCAGAGGGTCGCGCGGGAACTTTAGAAATCGGAAAAAACCACGGGTTTTTGCACCTCGACCACGCCCATCCCCGCAGAGGGTCGCGCGGGAACTTTAGAAATCGTAAAAAACCATGGGTTTTTGCACCTCGACCACGCCGATCCCCGCAGAGGGTCGATTTTCGTGTAGTGTCGTCGGCACTACCCCGCCGCCCTAAGAAGAGATTTTAACTCCTCGCAAGTCAATTGCACTTGACTCCTTGCACTTGCAACTTGCACTTGACTCCTTGCTTGTTTCAAGGAGTCATTGCAAGGAGTCATTGCAAGGAGTCATTGCAAGGAGTCATTGCAAGGAGTCATGAGAGCCCATTGCAAGTTGCAAGGAGCCAAGTGCATGGAGTCAAGTGCAAGTCGCAAGTGCACGGAGTTAAGTGCAAGTTGCAAGTGCAAGGAGCCAAGTGCAAGGAGCCAAGTGCAAGGAGCCAAGTGCATGGAGTCAAGTGCAAGTTGCAAGTGCATGGAGTCAAGTGCAAGTTGCAAGTGCAGGAGTCAAGTGCAAGTTGCAAGTGCAAGTCAAGTGCAAGTTGCAAGTGCAAGTCAAGTGCAAGTGCAAGTGCAAGTCAAGTGCAAGTTGCAAGTGCAAGGAGTCAAGTGCAAGTTGCAATCCTTGCCATGACTCCTTGCAATGACTCCTTGCTCCTTGCAATGACTCCTTGCAATGACTCCTTGCAATGACTCCTTGCAATGACTCCTTGCAATGACTCCTTGCAATGACTCCTTGCAATGACTCCTTGCAATGACTCCTTGCAATGACTCCTTGCAATGACTCCTTGCAATGACTCCTTGCAATGACTCCTTGCAATGACTCCTTGCAATGACTCCTTGCAATGACTCCTTGCAATGACTCCTTGCAATGACTCCTTGCAATGACTCCTTGCAATGACTCCTTGCAATGACTCCTTGCAATGACTCCTTGCAATGACTCCTTGCAATGACTCCTTGCAATGACTCCTTGCAATGACTCCTTGCATTGACTTTCATGATGATGATTCCTTGCAATGACACCTTGTAATGACTCTCATGAGAACAACTCAAGTGAACCCAGCGGAAGAACCCTTCGCCATGCTTTCGGGAAAAAAAACAGGAGAAAAAAAAACAAAAACGAAAAAGCCACCAGCTCTCCAGTTTGTCCGAACAGAACCAGACTCAGGCTCCCCTTTTTGGGTGTGTGTGTGTGTGTTTTTTTTGGGTGAAGCCCACCCCTCCGCATCCGCAGGTCAAGGCCTGGGGGAGCGAGATCCCAGGCGCCGGCCAAGAGCACGAGGCTCAGCAGGCTGAGAAGGATCAGCGCTGAGCTGGCCCACACCTCCGCGCCTCGGACGACTCGGACGACTCGGACGGACGACTCGGCATATCCCATGGCAAATCTTCCGGGTGCCCGGGGTCCTCGGAAAGCTCCAATGGGCCGATGGATTACTTTTTTTTGCTGGACTTACGAAAAGGATGAACAACTTCAATCAAAAGGAGAACTCACCAACCAACGAACGAACGTTCTTTCCCCTTGAACTCTCCCATTAAACCCCCGGAGTTAACTCCAAATATGCCAATGGCTTTCCCCTTGCACCTCTGTTTCACCCCAAGGACAACTCACTTCAACGTGCCACGGACTCGGATTCTCTCTAGGCCTCCCCACGCCGCGAGAGGCTCCTGCAGAGGGTGTACAAGGCGAAGCCGCCACAGAGGCCCAGGCTCACATACGAGCCCACCATGTTGACCTCGCCCATCATCTGGCCTTCGATATCGCTTCGCTTGCAAGCGCGCTGGAGTTAAGAGAGAGAATGGAGTGCAAGTGGTGCAGTTCACCAGTTGAAAGACACCAAAAAGGCAGTGAGAGCTGCATGTGCAAAGCACTGAGACTGCAAGTGCCCTGCCTCCTTTTGCCACTTCAGGCTCATTGGCCACCAAGTTGTACAATCCTCAGGCCCCAACTTCAAAGGCAACAGAAGAAGCAAAAAACCAAAACAAGCCGCCGGAGCGCCAAAAAAAAGAGGTCATGCAGCGATTTGAGGCTCTGGCCGTTGACTACGAACCAGCCACAGGAGGTGCCCACCAGGAGGAATGCCACATAGGTCAGCGCATCACGGCAAAGCGCGGGAGCCGCCATAGCTGGAGCCCGGAATTTCGCTGAGCTTGTCTGCTGAAACAGAAAAAACGCGACGGATATATGAGGAAGATCCAAGATCACAGGGCAAAGAAGCACCCAAGTGAAACGGCGCCATCGACAAGGGGCCAAGAAATGGGCTATGTTGCACAATCACCGATCATGCTCACAAGTACACTCTCGCCTCAAGACAACCCCCTCACCTCACAAGCACAGTAGCACAATATGGCTATCAATCTCAGTTGGGAACATTTCAAAAGTGGTTGCACAGCCCTTCATGATGTCCGCCTTTCTCGCATCCAGCCGCTCAAAAATCCACACCATGCCGTCAAAGATGCCAGCAATTGCCGAAGGAGTCCGCCAAGTTGAACCCACTGGGTGCTGTGATCGCCACGGCATCTCCGGCCTGAGCAAAACGAGGTGTTCGACTGATACGGCCATGCGGCGATAGTTTTGCATGGCCTCTTGGATGTTCTGCCCGGTGAGTGGAAAACAAAGGGACCCCAAAAAGCGAAAAAAAAAAAAAAAAAAAAAAAAAAAAAAAAAAAAAAAAAAAAAAAAAAAAAGGAAAAACAAAAAAAAAAAACAAGAAGGGGAACTAGTTCTGGGAAGCATTTACCATGGGGAGAGGGTGTTTCAACCAACATTGGCAGTGCATCTCAGGCGCCATGAGAGATCCAGGCACCATGACCAAAGTTGTGTTCACCAGAACATCCCCGAACGGCTCGCCTTAGATCCGGCACACTCAAGAGCCAAGAGCTCTGAGTCTGCAAAAGTTCGTGATATCAAAATACGGGGACCCAACAAATGGAAAACTTCCCCTTGGTTGCCCTTTAAACCAAGCCCAAAAAGGGTACCAAGCCCATGTGCCAATTGCCACGTGAGTTGAATCCCAGGCACTTCTGCGGATGACATTCCAACCTGGCGCGGACCAACGGTTCTCAAAAGCAGGATCCCCAAATGGCAATGGGTCGTGAACATCCCAATCCCCACCAAAATAGACTAAAATTGGTGGTGCACCCACCCCAACATGGTACCATCGGTTTTGACCCACAGCCAAATGGCTGCTGTCTTGCTTTCCCTTCTACGTCAACCAGCGCGCCAAAAAGATAAACAACCAAAAAACGTCAGCTTTTTGAAGTTCGAGCAGCCGGTCTGCGGATGAACTCGGGGCCCTGAAACATGACCCACGTCATAGATCAGCTCTTTGATGATCTCCGCCCCCGATGGCACATCCAACTCAGCTGCTTGAAGGCCAATCGCTTTAGCGAGCTTAGCTTGTGAACGCTACAGTTGTATTGGTCGTGTGCTCGCCCTGCCGTTTCTTGTGAAAAAAGGAATCAAACTGAGACCTGACGGCTGAGGGGTCTCCGCGTGTCCTCAGCCCAGGTGCCCTGTAAGTCTGCAGTTGCCAGGACCCGGAGGCATCCGCTGAAACCTCTGCGGCTATCCACAGCTCATACGCGGCACCTCCCGGCCTTGGCCATAGGGAACCCCTCCCCCCGGGGCCGCAACGACTACAACGACCAAATAGAGGGGCCCAAAATAATGGATGGTTTTCCTGGGTACGCTGTCTGCCATCTAAAACAGCCAAGATGCCAAGCGTCTGCACTGCCTCAAAATTGAAGTGAACTCGGCCGAACAAACAATGTCAATCCAAATATGGCTTGTGATGGGTGTGTTGCTTGGGGAAGCTTGCTGTGCCTACAGGAAAGGTCTGCAGTAACTCAGCACAAAAATGCTCCGAAATTGTAGGTGGACAATAGCCATCATCTGTGGCATGTTCCGGTTTAGTTTGCCGCGCACATTGAGGCAAACGCAACACGACTCAAAGCGCTCGAATGGGTCTGAGGAAAGCGCTCACGAGACGCACTCTGAGCATGTTGTCGGCATCCAGCGCGCAGGTGGTATTTCCACCCGAGCGAATCACTGCTCCCTCAAGTCCGAAGGCACAGAAGGTGTCCAGCAACCTCCAACCTGTCAAGCAAAGCTGGTGCGTCTGGGGCAAAAAAAAAAAAAGCACCAGTATCTGGGATGATCAAAATGGCCGGGGGGGAGGGGGGGGGGGGGCGATGCGTAATCCTAATCTGCATAGGAACTGCGGTTTGAATTTGAAAAGCCCAAATTGTGGATTGTTGTCCCATTTTAGAGGGGATCCTTCACTTTGGGGGGAAACACCCCACTATTCATTCTCCAGGTTGGTTAATCTGGGTCGGCAGTACGGATTGATATGGGTGCGTGCGTGTATGCTTGTGTGGGCACCTTTTTGGGGGTTGGTTGGAGGGGAAGCCCAAAGGAAACCCCCATTGTTTTTTCGGGGGGTCCCGTATATACACGTCCAAATATGAGCGACCCCACAAAAAAACTGTGCCTTCCTCTTGGGTTTCCACTAGATGGCACCGAGCCTCAAAATAAGATGTCCCTTGCCCGCCGCATGTCGCCGCGCCTGCTGGCGCCTCTACCCGCAGCTGCTGGAAGCCGCTGCCCACGCGGAACCGGAGTTTCAAGGGCGGCGACCTCATGGAGCTCACAACGGAGCACGACCTCAGATTCCAACGGAGAGCCCCAAATGAGTGGCGGTCCTTTGGTCGCCCTTCTAAAACATTAAACAAAGGTAGCCTCAAAAACCAGGCCCAAAGGCTTTTGTAAGAAAGAAAAAGCCCAATCATGCCCCCAAGACTGCGCAGCAAGGCTATGTTGAGACGTGCTGTGCAGCAAGGCAAGGCTATGTTGAGACACGCTGTACAGCACGGCTATGTTGAGATGCGCTGTCTGCAAGAGTGTGCTGCAATGTTCTGAGCAGCGAGGCCATTGAATGTTAAAGTTTGCTGCGCAGCGAGGCTATGTTGAGACGCGCTGTGAAGCAAGGCTACGTCCTCGTCGTCCAGATTCAAAATTCGCACGGCCACAGCGGGAGCGATCCGACGCGCGCGATCCCCGTTCTGCGGATTCCCAGAACGATTCCCTTAGAGTGTTCATCTCGCCGGACCCACCCCCGGCTGAAAAAGAACATAGAATTTGAAGGCTGCGCAGACAGAGCAAGGCTGTACAGAGCTGGGCTGCTGGGCAATGCGGAGGGCAATGCGGAGCTGTGAATGTCGGGCTACGCAAGCAGAGCAAGCTTCTTTCAAAGAACCCTTCGCTATGCTTTCGGGAAAAACAAACACGCGCACACACACAAACAAACAAACAAACAACCAAACAAACGAACAGGGCTCTTTGAGGGATGCAGCTGCAAGTTGATCCAAGTGTCTGAAACACCTGCAGCAAGGAAGCAAACATACGAGGTCACTCTGTGCACAAATGCTCCAACTCACTCCCCACCTCGGAGTCAGTGCTGTTGGCTGCGATGGATGATGGCATGAACCTGCCATCTTGGATCTGCCAAAGCAGAAATGAGTCGAAGAGCTCGCTGGCTTCGTCAGCAATGGTCAAGCTCCAAGTGTTGACTGTCGGCGGCGAGGGAGGATTTTGAACTTGCACTCGGAAGGCGTACTTGACCTGGGTTGCAATTACCCTGAGCGCGAAAAGTTCAACTTTTTGCTCCCCGCATATCTACGGGTCGTAACGCGGTCGGAGGAGTTAGGGAGGAAAACACATAGAGTTCCAAAAAGTTAAAGGTTCAAGATCGGACCTAATAACCCTATGGCAGCCAAGTGACATCGGCGGACAGAGTTGCTGGCGTCAGGCTCGCCATGGCCATCTCCATGTTGCCGTAGCACCCTATTGACACAGGAGGCAGAGGCTGAAATCCACTCGGGAATGGCTGCCCAACGCCAAAGACGGAGTTCTCGTCAATGACGAACCCTGACAAGGATAGCAACTCAAGAGCAAAGCGGGTGATTCTCAAAGAAGGGGACCCCTGAACATGCGTCGTTTCCTCCTGGATTCTTCTTCAAACCAATTCAAAAGGGGGCTTTGCATTGAAGACACACGTCGTGCATTTTGAACCTGTGACGTGACATGCAGGCCTTCCCGGCAGTCTTCAGCAAATAAGAAGAAATCAGGTGCGGTCAGCTGCAGCGTTGCAGTGCTCTGTTCCAAGTCGTTCGACAGCATGAAGAATAATATCAAATTGTTCACCTCACAGTTTGAGTGAACCGGTGACTGGGCTCGAACAGATGCTACACGGACCATTGTCGCAGCTGGAAAATGTTGATTAAAACTCGTTGACGGACCCCCTGAACAGTACCACTCACTTGAGCAGCAGGCACCCAAAGCCGAGCTGACTTTTACTACCAAAATGGTCATGGAGGTTGATGCAGCCCTTACAACTTACAATCCCGCCCCGTGAAATGCTGTTGTGCGCGCACTTGGGATTTAAAAGTTGCAGTGAAGCAACAAAACACATCTCATCCAAGCTACAGCTTGGGGCTGGTCGTTGCGGCCGGTCAGGATTCGCCTGACTCGCTCACGACTAGACAGTCAATAGGTGGGCCAGGTTTGCATGCGGAGAAAACGTGAAGCCCAAGCCGCTGCGGAGCATTGACATCTTGCAGTCCCGCCAAAGACATAGTCCTCAATCCAATGCATGTGCATGGGAAGCTGGTGAAAACACGTGGCATGATCGGAGAGAAAGAAAACGATGGCCCTAAAAACATGCGTCAAGTTATCCCCCCTACCAAAAGGAGGGTGGGGCAAAAGGTCCCCCAATCCATTTCTTTAGTATGTATTTAAGGGGGTGGGGATGTCAAGTTGCTTCGGTCTGACAGAGACAAGTTCCTGTGGAACGGCCAGCCACGATCACATGTGCCTTTACCACCCGGCGAATGAAGGGTAGAAGCGCTCAGCCACGAACAGTGGTGAGTAACCCGATCAGAATCTGATAGCATTTGTTGAGTCCAATGTCATCCCCCGACAAAGATGACAATGGATGACATTGACGGTGAGCCCCCAAAACCCATTGTGGTCCTACATGGTCAAGGTTCTCAGTCCCGGACGACTGGAAGGGCAAAGACACAGCCAAAACAGGGGCAAAAGACATGACATAAGTAAAGACCTATGGGCAGGCAAATACATGTGGGTCCACCCTCAAAAACTTTGAGTTTATGGCATTTTTCAATTTTGCTCTGCTGACTTTGGAGAGTTCCACGGGTCAACACTCGCTGTTGTTTTCCATTCTTGAGTCCGCGCAAATATGAGCGCAGATTTCATGGCAGGCTCAGTAATTTGTGAGTCCGTTGGTTGGGGGGGCTCGCAATTGGCTCGGAATTGCGGCCGCCGCTCACAGTGCTTCCGGACTTTCGTGGGATCCCTCCAAAACTGGTGTCTTTTTTCCAGTTTTCCCGAAAGCATCGCGAAGGGTTCTTCCGTGCGGAGCCCTTGGACAAGTTACATAGAACCAAGTTACATAGAGCCAAGTTACATAGAGCCAAGTTACATAGAGCCAAGTTACATAGAGCCAAGTTACATAGAGCCAAGTTACATAGAGCAAGTTACATAGAGCCAAGTTACATAGAGCCAAGTTACATAGAGCCAAGTTACATAGAGCCAAGTTACATAGAGCCAAGTTACATAGAGCCAAGTTACATAGAGCCAAGTTACATAGAGCCAAGTTACATAGAGCCAAGTTACATAGAGCCAAGTTACATAGAGCCAAGTTACATAGAGCCAAGTTACATAGAGCCAAGTTACATAGAGCCAAGTTACATAGAGCCAAGTTACATAGAGCCAAGTTACATAGAGCCAAGTTACATAGAGCCAAGTTACATAGAGCCAAGTTACATAGAGCCAAGTTACATAGAGCCAAGTTACATAGAGCCAAGTTACATAGAGCCAAGTTACATAGAGCCAAGTTACATAGAGCCAAGTTACATAGAGCCAAGTTACATAGAGCCAAGTTACATAGAGCCAAGTTACATAGAGCCAAGTTACATAGAGCCAAGTTACATAGAGCCAAGTTACATAGAGCCAAGTTACATAGAGCCAAGTTACATAGAGCCAAGTTACATAGAGCCAAGTTACATAGAGCCAAGTTACATAGAGCCAAGTTACATAGAGCCAAGTTACATAGAGCCAAGTTACATAGAGCCAAGTTACATAGAGCCAAGTTACATAGAGCCAAGTTACATAGAGCCAAGTTACATAGAGCCAAGTTACATAGAGCCAAGTTACATAGAGCCAAGTTACATAGAGCCAAGTTACATAGAGCCAAGTTACATAGAGCCAAGGGTAGGTAGAGCTTAGAGCTTCGGCGTTAGCAGCTATGTAAGTTAGTTTAGGTTTCTAAGGCGCCGGGGCGGGAGTTTGATCGTCGCTCGGGATTGCGACCCTCTGCGGAGATTCGCGTGGTCGAGGTTCAAAAACTGAGGACTTTTTACGATTTCTGCTGGCCGCGCGCGACCCTCTGCGGAGATGCGCGCGGTCGAGGTTCAAAAACTGGGGACTTTTTACGATTTCTGCTGGCCGCGCGCGACCCTCTGCGGAGATTCGCGTGGTCGAGGTTCAAGAACTGGGGTCTTTTTTACGATTTTTAGCATGCGCGCGCGACCCTCTGCGGAGATTCGCGTGGTCGAGGTTCAAAAACTGGGGACTTTTTACGATTTTTAGCATGCGCGCGCGACCCTCTGCGAAGATTCGCGCGGTCGAGGTTCAAAAACTGAGGACTCTTTACGATTTTTAGCATGCGCGCACGACCCTCTGCGGAGATTCGCGTGGTCGAGGTTCAAAAACTGCGGACTTTTTACGATTTCTGCTGGCCGCGCGCGACCCTCTGCGGAGATTTCTGCTGGCCGCGCGCGACCCTCTGCGGAGATCGTGCGCGTCGAAGCGCTCTCGCTGTGGCGCCGTGCGAATTTGTCTTAGTCTCGGCGAACCCTCTGCGGAGATTAATATTCTTGCTCGCGAAACGGCCTTTGGAAGTTGTCTCGTGGTTTGCGCGCCTGCTTTCGCAATCCCGCGGTCGCGGGTTCGATTCCCCCTGGTCCGCGCAGCTCCGGCTTGAAAATCGCAGCTTTTAAGTACAAACGTAGTACGCGGAGCGTGCTCCTGCAGCTCCGGCTGGAAAATCGTAACTTTTAAGTGCAGACGTAGTGTGCGGAGCGTGCTCCCGCAGCTCAGGCTGGAAAATCGCAACTTTTAAGTACAAACGTAGTACGCGGAGCACACCCCCGCAGCTCCGGCTTGAAAATCGCAACTTTTAAGTACAAACGTAGTACGCGGAGCGTGCTCCTGCAGCTCCGGGTGGAAAATCGCAATTTTTAAGTACAGACGTAGTATGCGGAGCGTGCTCCCGCAGCTCAGGCTGGAAAATCGCAACTTTTAAGTACAAACGTAGTACGCGGAGCGCACCCCCGCAGGCAACTTTTAAGTACAAACGTAGTACGCGGAGCGCACCCCCGCAGGCAACTTTTAAGTACAAACGTAGTACGCGGAGCACACCCCCGCAGCTCCGGCAGCACTTGCGCGGAGCAACTTGCGCAGAGTCACTTGCGCAGAGCAACTTGCGCAGAGCAACTTGCACAGAGCAATTGCACAAAGCACTTGCGCAGAGCAACTTGCACAGACCAACTTGCGCAGAGCACATGCGCAAAGCGCTTGCACGGAGCAACTGGCGCAGAGCCCTTGCGCAGAGCAACTTGCTCAGAGCACTTGCGCAGAGCAACTTGCACAGAGCACTTGCGCGCAGCAGCTTGCAGAGAGCAACTGGCGCGCAGCAGCCTGGAACAATGCAGCTTGCGCAGACCACTTTCGTGAGAAATCGCGCGGCGCAGTTCGAGAGGAAAGTAGGATGATGAGATGGAGCTCTCATGTGACCATACACACTGAGCATCGCCGCGCGCAGACACGCTCGCCGCAGCGATGTAAAAAGGTGTCTCCGCGGCTGGATGAGCACCTGTGGAAAAATGCTTTCGGGCCAGTCGTCCTCTAGTTTGTTTTGCTCGCTGAAGCCTGTGCGGACTGTGTTTCTATAGTCCCTCTTCACTTCTCAACTTGGAACCTTCCGACCCCCGGCTCTTGGCTCGACTGCTCTAGGCTTTTCCAAAACCCCAACTAAACCTGGTGAGTCATAATCACCTAACCCGGTATTAAAATGGTCGACCCAGAACCATGTAAAGAGCTAAGAACGCGGCCGCAGCTGCTGATGGTCGGGAGTGTCCCTTACCAACCTTCACTTGCCCGGGCTTTGATTGTGGCTCAGGTGGTGCAAACCCCAGGGCCAACGCGGAGTTCGGGCGCTGGTGCAATGCCCAGGCTCTGAAGCAGCTGAGGAGAAGCGGCGGCAATTCGCCGATCCAGCTCGCGAGGAACACCGGCTGAAGCATCCTGGCAAGATGGCGCGTCAAATCGCAGCACGTAAACAATTATGTGTGTTTTTGTTGGAGGCACTTTGCACGGCCACGTATGTCCACCAACCACTTTGCAGGGGGTCCCAGTTAAAATGTGCAGGGCCATTTGAGCCTGGAAGGACATACTTGTTTCCCCCCAAGAGGACACAAGAAGATTGTGGGGGCTCAACACCGTTTTTGTTTCTTCTGTGGGAAACCAAGAGTAGGCTACAAATAACACTGTCAGCGACTCCCAAGTTCAGATTAGGCCCCTGCAATAAGAAACCAATGACATCAGTGACCTCCACAGTCGAGAAGAGCCAGCATTGAGCAGCACCGCCTTGACTTTGCCAGCAAGATGCAGCAAAGGATTGTCAGACCGAGTCTCACTTCCCAAAAAAGACTCGGTAGGAAAAAGGTTAGCCTTTTGGAACCTTCAATGGATCCAAGCGAGCGACCAAAAGATCAATTGTCGACTTTGAAGAAGTCAGTGTTTGCGTGCAACTTAGAACCGCACAAGTGCTGTCAATCGCCTCGGCCACAGGGCAACATATCTGGCTATCGTGAAAGGCTAAGGCAGCACACATCCCAATCAAACAAGTGGAATTCCACTTGAGTGGGAGCGCAGTGCATTATGAAATTCACTATCAGAAGCCAAGTGTCTGAAGCGTCCAAGGATACCTGAGCAAAATACTGTACTGGTGGTACACAAAACTTCTGTTTCAAACATCGTGTTACTTCAAAGTTGAAAACATTGGCTGCTATATGCCTTCTTTGTGTTGCTGCAAAATGGACTAAGTGCTGTCAAGAAGGGATGGCTCAACAAGTGGGGGCCATCTGTCCGGAATGTCGGACAGTACCATTATGTTTGAGTCGTGCCAGCGTCATTCCAGCGTTGTGGCAGTGCCATATTATTTTTGCTTCTTCAAGCCCTGTCACTAAGGAGGATCCCCTCAAAAGAAACAATCCCTGCAAAGCATGGACCACTTTCACAGCACTGGTTGGTCCTCCTTATCCCTCCCAAATGAGATCCCCAAGAAGTAGGTGGCTTCGGTTTGGCTTCCCGTTTACACCCATAAAAGGGTGTGAAAAAAAAGAAGAAAAACAAAACGCACGTTGAAACCAAAGGGCTGGATTCTGCACAGGGAGCTCAAAGCTGTAGAGTCCTGGCTCCAAATCTCCCTGAAGCTGCAGGCGCGGAACCCCCAGAAGCCGAAAGAAGGAACATCCCACCTGGGCGAACGAGTGGTTCGTTGCTCTGCGAACAGTTAAGGCTTTGGTGGGAGATGCGACAAATGCCGAACAAAGTTGCCCGAGCGCCCAAAACCCATTGACTCAAAGAGTTCCACTAAATGCCTGTAAACGTTTGTATGTGCCTCACAAGATAACCCACAAGAAACCAAGGAATTTGCCACCACCTACTAAAATGGGCCGATGAAAGTTTTGGGCGCTGACGTGGATTGGTCAAACTGGCCAAACCAAACAAAAGGCTTATGTTTCCCACACCCAAAACACAAGTCGAGACAGGAAAGAAATGAAAGTCGCACTGAAGAGCAACCAAGCAACAGTTCCGTCACCTAGGCGTCCGACTCTCATGCAGATTTTTGGGATGCAACTTGTCAGCTATGCCCACCCCGCTTTGTTGTTCCGGTGACTACCTCGTGCCCTCCTTGCACGTGCACTGCCGAGCTGGTGCAAAATATGTCCCTCTCTGCATGTCATGGACAGAAAACCATTGACTCTAAGGCTGAGATAACTTGAAACAGCGAGGAGCGCAGGAACATGTCGCTCAGATCCCATAAGGTACATATGCCCAGCTTGTGTCAATCCTTCAGCGGCTTTGGGTGACCCCCATCACGTGTCACTCACGCACTTGCTGATCCAAGCATCCCATGCTGCGCAGGATCGCATCTGAAAGATTCAGAAGAACATCCTGAGGATGACATTGTTCCGAGAAATCGAAGCCCTCAGGGGGATCTCAGTGATCTCGTCCGTGCAAACCGAGGTTTGCTGTCATATAAAACGCATCTGCAATTGGACGCCGGGACAAGTTAGGGTGCCCCATTAAAGATCCTTCACTATAAGAGACCCTCTATAAATCCATCAGGTTGAAGCCCAACAATCAGAATGACGATTTCTCTTTGGACCAACCCAACAAAGGCTACCTTTCCAACATGTTTTGAGGGAACCTCGTTTTGGGCTAGTTCAAAAGGAACATCAGAGGAAAACCACCGTCTTTGTTGCTTCTTTCCTGTTTTTTTAGAGGGGCGTCCCTATTTTTGACACATGGGTATGGGTCAAAATGAAACCACCAGGGGACGGCAGGTTTGAGTCCATGTTTCCATTTGCCAGGGTTCCAGTTGGGGCACCTATTTTTGACCCACAGCCACATACCCAAATTGCTGTTGGCAGTCAAACGATGTCCATGCCTCGGGTGCTTCGATGATCAAGGCGCCGCGTGCCGGGACCGCTGTGACGATGCGGAGCTGAAATCGGGCGACGCTGGTGGCGCCCGCGCGCCGCGTGCGGAAAGACACCTGGCGCGAACTCCCGGGGTTTCGGCGACCGGCTGAATGGGTTTTAAGACATGGGTCCTATCGGATGCAACAAACACGTGATCGTCCTCTAGAAGCTGGAAACGACTAGAACCAGTTTGGGGTTCCCTCAAGGTTGTAGCCGCAATAGCCCCAGGAACCCTTCCAAAGACCCCAGCGTTCAGCTGTTGGGGCAAAACAGAAACGCTCTGTTCTGAGATCCTGTTAGAGTAACATGTCGATCCTTGCAACAGCAAAACTGAATCAACTCATGGCAATCTCGACGGGGCAAGCTGATGTACCAATGACTCCAGGATTGCCTAAAACAACCACGTTTTTGATATACAATGATTCACCAAGCAGAAGCAAGGAACCACCCGTTAAGGCGTAACTTTACAATGGATGCGCTTGTTTTACACCCAAACACCTTGAACCAGGTAGTAGTTAGACCCCCCCACAACTTGTCTTTTTCAATGACCCCAATGGCTTTCAGCTGTTGGGGAATCAACCCCGCCCCCATATGGCCATGGGTCAAAATCCAAATCGTACCCCCAGTGAACATCCCAATCCCCACTCAAATAGGTTCTACTAAATGGGCGGTGAATTCACCTACCAACCAAAATGGGATCCCAAAACGATTTTGACCACCACGGCCACATACCCACATGGCTGTGGTTGTCAAAATCGTTTTGGGATCCCATTTTGGTTGGGATAGGTGAATTCACCCATTTGTGGGTCAAAACCTTTGGGATCCCATTTTGGTTGGTAGGTGAATTCACCACCCATCTTAGAACCTCTAGTGGGTTCCTGGGCCACATGCTTTGACGGCCATCTCGCTCTCTTCCTGTGCCTTGGCGCCCATGAGCGCCCGGAGCAGCGGGGCCGCTTGGAGCGCCGCGAAGGGGCGGGGCAGCGACCGCAGCGGGTGGATCTCTGCGTCGGAACGCTCCACGCGCGTACCTCGAAGGGTCTTCCACCGGGGGAAATTGGAGTGGGCGGTTCGGAGAAGAAGTGGATGAACTGAATCTGAATGCTGGGAGAAAGTGGTGACTAGTGCAAAGTGGGTATGAATGAGGGACCCCTTGCTAAATATGACCGAAAGGTGGGGATTCATACCCACCAACCACTTTTGGAGCTGGCTTCCTTGTACATACATTTCTTAGGAATATGGGTGTGCGTGAATCCTAAGGGATCCAACAAATGATGCTTTGTCCATTAGCTTCCCTTGAAAAAGGGACCAAGCCTCAACAACAAAACCCTCCCGCATCGGAACTAAAGTGGCAGGCGGGACCAGGCAGGGCCCGGGGCCCCTGATTAAATCATGGCTGAAATGGGACAGGGTCTAGCTGACACAGTTTGCCCAGCCCGGGACCCATCTCAGAGGGTCCAAGCAGATGCTACGGCTGCCAGCATTGAACAAATGGTTTCTTAAGCCAGGTGGATTCTGTGGATTGACATCTACACTTTCCCTGAACGGATCGACACAGCCCACACTTCAAGGGTGCATCTGCGGTTTTGCAAATGCAGTCTGCAAATACACAAAAGTCGTGGCTGCGGCTTAAGTGTCAGCAAAAGGGGCCCCGTTCTTCCAACTACAAACCTGCTTTTTGACCTCTACATTATCTCTTGGTTTATGTGCCCAAACATCGATGGGCTGGGGGTGGAAACAAGCGCGTCCCCTCCGTGCAATGAGGCATCGCCTGAGTCCAAGTCCCGATCTGGTGTTCAGTGCTCTGCCCGGAACTGTACCAAGAGATTAAAGGGCAAATGTCCGAGCCTAATTGGGCATGGGTCAAAATCAAGCCACCAGGGGACCGCAGGGTTTGGTCATGTTTCTGTTTACCAAGGTTCCATTTTGGGTACCTATTCTTGACCCACAGCCAATTCTGGCTGGGACTGTCTCTCACCACCCTTCGTACCGAGGCTTGGTCAGTAGACTGAGGCATCTGCATCCAGACATCTGACTTGCCAAGCTACATGACTGGTAGGGGCAGAGCGAACAACTCGCCGCGCTGGCGGCAAACCGAATCTCAATCTCAGCCTCGATTCGGTCAACCAATATTTGGAGTATCCCCGGATTTGCTGAGTTACACCCGTTTCCTCATTGTACTTTGGTGAGTGCGCCCTAGGCCATTCCCTTGTCTACTTCAATGCCCGTTGCTCAGAAGAACGCATCCAAAACAGCTCTTGGATCCACGGGCAGCATGCGCGGTGCCCTTCTTGGGGTTATCTTTACGGGACAGGGGAAACCGCTCGGATTGCCCAAGCCCATGGGATCGGGGGCGAGAACTCGACGAGAAATCCACCGACGCGGGCATGGATGAACCAGGCATGACCCACGCGAATCCGGACTCCCAAGGCAAGGAGTCACTCGCTTGCCCTTGGAAAGTGAGACTTTGCCCAAACCAGGTGCAACCGTTTTGGTATCCCCTTTGAAAGGCGGCACCGGGGTAACTGGGGCCAAATGTTTGACAACCCATGTGATGCGTTGAAACCAAGTGGCGCAGGAGAAGTCTAAAAGGCAGGCTTGCCGACAAGTCGTCCGTAGGATTTGCAATGCATTTGCATCTTCCAGAGATCTCGAATAACTCTGACCATCTGCGCATGTTGATTGGCAGCCGGTGGTGCGCAGAATCTCCCATTGAGCTGGGCTCCAATCATCGTCGTACCCAAACTCCAGAAGGATCGAGTTTGTAGACTCTGTTGGATTGCGAGAAAGAATCAGCGGTGCCAGAAAGCCATACCTGACTTTGGCAGGTCAAGGGCAAGCACAGAAACACTCAGCACAAACGTACCTGATCAATACGCAATTCAGATACACCTCCAAGGGCATGTACGACGATGTTGACCAAGTCAATATACTTGATGATTGCGCTGGTACTCCTAAAAGCGCAAGCACTGGTCCTGTTCTCCCTCCTGCACCTCCGTGGCCTTTGAGAAATATGAGCAAGTGTCAAATGAGCAGGTCATTCTACTACATCAGCATTTGCGCCCAGCCAAAGCATGTTGAATTCCGGCCAATGCTTGCTGAACCTTATTTTGTCAACTGCTTTCAACAGAGATCGCAGCTTACTCCCCGATTGCAGCGAATCCGTCCTGCCGGCCAATCCGAAGTCGCGCCGGGCACAACGTCGCCGCCGTCGGAGCGATTCCCCGCGAGGGAAATGAAGCTACTGGACGGGAAGTTGAAGCTGAAGCCTTCGGGCATCGTGAGCCGCAGAGCACCTTAGATTTGGGTCCCAACCGACCCATGGTGGTTAACACATGGTTGGTTTAGCACGTGGAGTGATGATAGAGCTAAACCAACCATATGTGATGTAATGTATGAGAGCTCCCAGCTTTGGACAGTGCCATGCGAAAACTTTGACTCCGCTTATCTGCGCGCTCAGCCGTGTCACACGTTTCAGGGTCAATCTGTTGGGAAATGTCCAGAGTCTCCATGTATCCGCCAAATTGATCATAGACACAACCTACATTTTGCCCGAACCATACATGTGTCATGGTCAAAACTCCCCAGGGCCGGTCATGTCTCCCTTTGGGAATTACTTACTCTCAATGTCTGAACTCTCGACAGGGTCCCCTTCACCATCCCTATCAAGTAAAATCCCATGGAGGGTCCGTCACCAAAAAAGTGACCCCTACCTAGACGTATCGACCGAGTCAAGACACATGCATCGGATCCTACGTTTCACGGAATCTTGCGACGTTGCGCGTTTCTCGGGTGTCTCCCGCCCGAAAAATCTCGACACACCTCCGGAGACCCGAACTCCGCAAAAGCGCCGCGGCGCCGGTGACGGGGATTCCAAGGCGGAAGAGCAGCTGGAGCGTGGACTCGGTGCCCGAGAGCTCGAAAGGCTGGAGGCTGGAGAAGGCCGCCTGCAGCGGCAAGGATCCTTGGAAAAAACGGAGGCGAAGGTGCCGGTTCGCCGAATATAATACTCGCGTTGCACAATGTTAACATTTCCATGGTTGGAGAAAATGGACCCTTTCTCTGATACCAATGCAGGAGTCCCATCTCAGAAGGTGGGTTCACCAAGGGTATCACAGAAAGTGGCCCTAAAATCCTGTTTCCCACAACCAATGGTTGCCCCCGAACAAACCCCAACAAAAAGTGATCACTCTTGGCTGAGCGGAGAAGAACGCGCTTCTTGTCTGCGTGGGGAAATGGGCCCACCCAAAAAGTGAAGAACACGTGTTGCTAGTTGATTCTCTCTTCCCCCTAATAAATGCACGCCATGAATAAAGATCGTTGTCCCCAGCCCGCTGGATCCCCAATACTACTCTTAGAATTTGCCAACTCCAAAACAATCCGAATTAGCGGATTTCTCGCCCAGCCCCAGCCTTAGGTACTGCGAGACCCAAGCTCCTTGCACCAACCCCATGCCAGAGTTCAACAAAAGCCAGGCCCTTCTTTCCCTTGAAATGTTGCACTACAACCGAGTGAAACCTTTCCAAGGGACATTTCGCTGCCTATGCGCTTCACTGCCTGGCCTGCCTCCCTCAAACAGTACTTATCAAATGAGGGGCTTTTCAACAAGAAGTAAACAAAGGGTTCCCTGCATTGCGCTGCCTATGCGTTTCCCTGCATGGCCTATGCGTTTCCTGCCAGCTTAAGAAGGTCGGCGAGGGAGACACTTCACTGTCTGTCTGTCTGTCTGTCTGTCTGTCTGTCTGTCTGTCTGTCTGTCTGTCTGTCTGTCTGTCTGTCTGTCTGTCTGTCTGTCTGTCTGTCTGTCTGTCTGTCTGTCTGTCTGTCTGTCTGTCTGTCTGTCTGTCTGTCTGTCTGTCTGTCTGTCTGTCTGTCTGTCTGTCTGTCTGTCTGTCTGTCTGTCTGTCTGTCTGTCTGTCTGTCTGTCTGTCTGTCTGTCTGTCTGTCTGTCTGTCTGTCTGTCTGTCTGTCTGTCTGTCTGTCTGTCTGTCTGTCTGTCTGTCTGTCTGTCTGTCTGTCTGTCTGTCTGTCTGTCTGTCTGTCTGTCTGTCTGTCTGTCTGTCTGTCTGTCTGTCTGTCTGTCTGTCTGTCTGTCTGTCTGTCTGTCTGTCTGTCTGTCTGTCTGTCTGTCTGTCTGTCTGTCTGTCTGTCTGTCTGTCTGTCTGTCTGTCTGTCTGTCTGTCTGTCTCTGTCTGTCTGTCTGTCTGTCTGTCTCTGTCTGTCTGTCTGTCTGTCTGTCTGTCTGTCTGTCTGTCTGTCTGTCTGTCTGTCTGTCTGTCTGTCTGTCTGTCTGTCTGTCTGTCTGTCTGTCTGTCTGTCTGTCTGTCTGTCTGTCTGTCTGTCTGTCTGTCTGTCTGTCTGTCTGTCTGTCTGTCTGTCTGTCTGTCTGTCTGTCTGTCTGTCTGTCTGTCTGTCTGTCTGTCTGTCTGTCTGTCTGTCTGTCTGTCTGTCTGTCTGTCTGTCTGTCTGTCTGTCTGTCTGTCTGTCTGTCTGTCTGTCTGTCTGTCTGTCTGTCTGTCTGTCTGTCTGTCTGTCTGTCTGTCTGTCTGTCTGTCTGTCTGTCTGTCTGTCTGTCTGTCTGTCTGTCTGTCTGTCTGTCTGTCTGTCTGTCTGTCTGTCTGTCTGTCTGTCTGTCTGTCTGTCTGTCTGTCTGTCTGTCTGTCTGTCTGTCTGTCTGTCTGTCTGTCTGTCTGTCTGTCTGTCTGTCTGTCTGTCTGTCTGTCTGTCTGTCTGTCTGTCTGTCTGTCTGTCTGTCTGTCTGTCTGTCTGTCTGTCTCTGTCTGTCTGTCTGTCTGTCTGTCTGTCTGTCTGTCTGTCTGTCTGTCTGTCTGTCTGTCTGTCTGTCTGTCTGTCTGTCTGTCTGTCTGTCTGTCTGTCTGTCTGTCTGTCTGTCTGTCTGTCTGTCTGTCTGTCTGTCTGTCTGTCTGTCTGTCTGTCTGTCTGTCTGTCTGTCTGTCTGTCTGTCTGTCTGTCTGTCTGTCTGTCTGTCTGTCTGTCTGTCTGTCTGTCTGTCTGTCTGTCTGTCTGTCTGTCTGTCTGTCTGTCTGTCTGTCTGTCTGTCTGTCTGTCTGTCTGTCTGTCTGTCTGTCTGTCTGTCTGTCTGTCTGTCTGTCTGTCTGTCTGTGCTGTGCTGACCGAAGCCAAACAAAAACAACGAGCCTTTCCCTTGCAAAGTTGTGCTACAACCCATTTACAAAGCTTCCTTTTAGGCCCGTTTCCACGGATTAGTATTTGCTTCTGACCCCAATATGCCGATTGACAAATATCGTTTACCGCCGAGCCAACATCTATTGATCGGGGGGCCGTATAATTTATTTGGAGCAAGAGATTTGGGGATGTGGTATTTGACCTGCAAAAAGGTGAACGTGTTGTTGGTGGGCAAGGAAACAGTCATTGTGCCAAAGGTTACAAGATTGTTCCGGTCGCACCAAAGAATAACCAAGGATCTGTGATAGAGCTTAAACACATCTCGGTTGGCAGCCGGCACCGCGGTTGTCGTGCCATCAACCAAACTGCCAGCAGCAGTTTGGGTGTATAAGTACCAGCCGTAGTTTTCATCATAGAGATCTACTGGAGGCATCCGAACGGTGATTTGCCAGGCATACATCTGAGAGGCAAAAATCCGAGACTTCAGTCTGATCAACGCATGGAAGGGTGAGTTGCTGGAAGTCTCGCAACTCAGCTGTGGCAAAGGAGAAGTGCTCTGGGTGCCGGAGGAATAATCAAAGTAGTAGTGGCTGCTTGCGGGTAGGTCCGAAGATTGGCAAGTGCCAAAACTAAACCCAGGCGCGGCCTGAACCAGCACGGCACCTCCTGCAAGCACATCTTGCGATGGCCGAAAGAAGATTTGCACTGCCGTGAAACTTTGTTCGGCAGGCTGGAGAAATGGCAGAGTGGGCTGCTGCATCAAGGGTTGAATCGTGGCGTCGGTGATCACTCCCAGGATGGATCTCGATGAGCTATAATTGGCGCCCAGCTCAGTCGCCAAGTCAAAGGCTGAGAGGTTCAGGCTCCGGAAGGACATTGAGGAGCCACTTGACCGAAGTCCCAAAAACCAGGTGTTCATGACATCCTCCCGCTGTCGAGGTAGTGAGGGGTTGTTCACCTGCAGGCGAACCATGATGGAGGAGCCGGCAAATATTGCCATGCCTTCAGGCAGGCTGTAAAGGCAGCTTTGGCCCTGGTTGCTCCATCCAGCGTCCTCAAGCGAGCCAGCCTCTCCTGGAATGCTTTGGCCTAGTCCCGAGAAGCACATGCCGCGTTCCATGCCGCTCCCTGGATGCCAACCCACTGGTGGGACAGAGAGGGGAGTACAGCATGAACACTAAAACAAGCGGGTACCCTGTTCTGGGGAGAGGGGCCCAGTATGAGCAACAGCACCCTTCGAGGTTTGCACAAGCACCCTCCGTCCTGAGGCCAGGTCTGCGGCCCCTGCCGCTATGCAGCTGTAGCCAGGTGGGCTGATTTCAAGTGAGGCTGCCTAGGTTGGGCACGCAGTGACTCGCATCGATCCGGACTCTCAGACTCCGCCGGGCTGCAAAACCCGAGTATTCACTATGGAGCGTGGCACCAAGCCGGAATTTGGCATACAGGATATTGCCTCAGTGCAAGCAGAACGGGGGATCTGGGCAAGCCAGAAATTGGTGCGCCAAGTTGCCAGTCTGCTGCTGAAATGGGCGCTCATTTCCAGCCGTGTCCAGCAAGCCAGCTACGGCGGTGACGCTCCTCGCAGCTCTGGAAAAGCACAAAATCTTAAGTTCGTTGTCAAATGGCCGTGGCTCAAACAACCTTGTACCATGGCACCTTAGGCAAATGGAACCAAAGGCTGCCTGCCTATTCCCTGGCTCTTTAATTTTGACCCACAGCCAATAGGTGTTTCTCCAAAATAGGTTTTGGGATGCTGTTAAGGGAACAAACCACAGGGAAACCAACCACGACACACCCAAATCAGGGAGTGATTTTGCGAAACCCTTCACCAATTTGGCGAATACAAAAAGAGACCTGCACCCCTGTTTCTTGTCAAATGGCCATGGGTCAAAATCCAAATCGTACCCCCCGTAAACATCCCAATCCCCACTCAAAAAGATTCTAAAATGGGTGGTGAATTCACCTACCAACCAAGATGGGATCCCATCAGTTTTGACAACCACAGCCAAATGGGTATGCCTCAAAATTAAACAGGAGGGGCAAACCGCAGGTTTTGGTCCATGTTTCCACTTCCCAGGGCAACCCATGTTGGACTTCCAGTTTTTTTACCACCACGGCCAAATCAGAGATTGCAAAACTCTTTTTCTTTGGCGCGCGCTCGGGAGTCCTGTAGATAAAGCTTCCGGAAGTGATGCCTGAGGTGATTCTTGCAAAAGCAACACCAAAGGGCATGAAAAACGGGTATGGCTCAAAAAGAACGGTATTCCAAGATGGAATGGTAAGTGGAAACCTTTCACCAACACCTGCGGTTTGCCCCTGGCTCTTTGATTTTGAGCCACTGCCCCCTCTAGTTGTGGTTTGGAGGCTCACCGGAATCAGCTTAATCAAAACTTGGCATTGAGCTGGTGTAAAGAATTACAAGGGCGCTTTTTCTATATATGGTACACTAAGCTTTACTTGGGTCACTTCAGCCTCTCCAGATTGCCAGTCGATTCAGCTTAGAGGCAGTAGGAAGGAAAGGCGTCGGTCTCAGTGGTGACCTGAACGCCCAGACGGCCAGGAAAGAATCCTCCAGGTGGAGGGGTGAGGCTCACTTCAAAGACGTTCTGCACGCTACCGTAAATGGCATCAAGGTCCTTAGACTGCAAGCAGCCCCAAAGACCCTTCTGGAACCGAAAGGCCAGCCCGAAAATACTCCGTCCCGGGCAAAGCTAGGGAGTCCTGGGGTTTTGCTTGAACATCACGCCGCAAGGAGACTGAAACGGGAAACATAAGATAAGGACCCACGGAACATGCAGCTGGAACATGCAGTCACAACCCATAAATGCTGCCGAGAACTCGTTTGGCAGGGTCATCTTCACCTTAACAAGCACAAGCCCGCTGGAAAATCTGTGCACTGACTGCAACACCACAAAGCGTCAAGTTCAAGCCATGTCGCCGCATTGCTGCGATTGGCGCCGTCTTCGATTGCAAAGGTTTCGCAGTCCACAAACCCACAGCCACCCTGCATGCTGCACATAGCTTGACAAGGCCCTGCATCCAATTCCCATCCTGAGAAAAAAAGAATCCGCGAGTCGAAAAATCGGAGATGCTTGGACTCGCAGCTCGTCTCCCTCGCCAAGTGGCCCAGCAAGGGCCACAAGTAAAGTCTCAGAAGATTCCCCCGGCGCACTGCACGCAAAGAGCTGCCAGCTTCTAGGGAGAGTTGGAGAGGAACTCCGGGCCCAAGCTCAAGAATACCTCGGAATGCAAAAATATGAAAGACAGCTGAGCATTCCATTCGTTGTTTACAAGGTAGACTCACACCTGGTGCTTGATTCCGCAAACAGGGAATCTCTGCGTTCATATTTATGTCCTTCGGGTAAACAGAAAATGGAACCCTGGCTGAAATGTGAAGCTTGCGATTGGCGAAAATGGATCCACCAAGTCGCCATTGGTACCGCCCAGCACCGTGCAACTGCGCCTTAGCACCGTGTGGCCGGCCCAAGGTGAAAGGGATGCTGCCTCGTCTCAAAAAATCGGGAACGCCCACAAACTGGATGGTCTCTCTTTGCTTTCCGTTTCAATCCACCGAGCCTCGCAATTAAGGAACCGCGACCATGTCGACCAAAACCCCAACTCGAGCGAGCCAAGGCGCAAGTCTGGCTCGCCAGACATGGAGGCAGGCACCTGACCGAGATGCAAGATTCGACGGGAATCTTCATGCAGCACCCCAAACCCCTGCCAAAATGGTGTCCATTGCCCCCAAAATGGCGTTCACTGGGAGTTGAGCGACATTCGCATCCAGCAAACTAAAGGTTGGCAAACTTTTGCAGAGCCAAAACCACCGAGATCCAGGAGTTTGATGATTATGGATACACCGCCATGAGCCACGGCCCAAACTACTTGTTTGCCCAAGCGGACACGCGACATTTGCGTGAGTGCCCTGGTGTGTTGTGGGACATTTCGCGAATCCCCCCCACGTGCCTTCCATATGAACCACAGACTACTGATTTGCTTTTGAGCGACTTCCCTCAGCCATTCGGTCTGGCCGAATTCACTCGGTCCAGGCCTGTGGCACACTCTGAAGTATGCCGGGGCCCATCTCCAGAACGTGAAAAGGCTGGAGCAGGATGTCGCCCATGACCTGAGCCGCTTAAAGCCCGAGACAACCCTTCAGCTTGTGGGTCTCACATAGTTGTATAGGTTGCCAGGCCTCACTGTAACCCAATCAAACCGGCTGCTATAACCACCCATCTAACTCCAGCCATCCAGCCCAGCCCCTATTGGAAGCGCCAAGTTCCACTAGGCCCGCAAACAAGTTTGAGCTGGCTGGACATGAACGGGTCCCACCTGGTTAGGTCCAAACCACCCAGACAAAACTCACACCCATGTCACATCTCCTCTTTCACCAAGCCGCCATGGCGCGGGCCACCTCTTGCCTCGGCATCCCATTGATGTGGGCATAGGCCGTGAGGCTGTGACTCAACTCAAATGGCCATGGGTCATAACCTATGCCTCCATGGGGCGGATGAACACCCATGTAGCACAAATTTTGATGTTCACCAGGGGTACAGGGTGTTGACCCACAGCCAAATGATTGAGTGTTTCTCTCAACATGGTGTCCACCCCTGTGGATGGTGCTTAAACGGGGGAGTGGTGCCATCTTTCACCAAGGCTGAGCTGCCCCAGTTCAGCTTCGCCCACTTTCCCGCGAAGAACCAGCTGATACGAGGTGTGGGCCTTCAACTTGGCCGATGAGAATACCAGCCCCACCTTGGTCAAGGCCCCCCTGCAAAAGGCATTGACCCTTTTGCTAGTGACGGGGGGACATTGGCATTGTCCAAAAGCCGAAAAACGAAAAAGGTCGTGCCAAAGGGAAACCAAGCAACCGCCCATGAAGCATTTGTCCTCGGCGTCGCAATCTGCAAATTGTAAAAAGGAAGGTTCGTCAAAATAGGGGCGATTTGCCCCTAGAGTCGGCAAATCCAATGCCAAACATATGCAACATGTCAAGTCTCGGCCGCTGAAGATAGCACCCTTGCGGCATAGGGAAGCCGTCTGGGTCATCTGACCACATTTCCTTCAACGAACAATTGACAAAGCATACCAATGTCCTTGCTCTGACCAGACAAAGGGACAAGGCCTACTATTGCGGTACATCAAGCGCTCGGCAGAATCCCAAATCGAAACGCTCGTGGCAAGACATCTCTCGCCTTGAAGAGACGGCCACAGAGTGCTTGCTCGGCCCCTTCTGGCGACCTTTGCCCAGCAACCTCTTCCAAATCGCCATCGCTCGCGTCGCTCGCGGCGCCTGGGTGTGCATAAAACCATTCTCACATTTCATTCATGACACGGACAACGCTTGCAGAATTGCAGCTCAAAGTCGGATACCAAATAGAAGGCCGCTGGGAAATTCCAGGCCTTACACAAAGCGTCATATCCTGTCTTGCCAAAAGAGTGCAACAAATTAAAAATAGGGTACCAAACAACAATGGCTTCGCTCCTTTTGGTCTCCCTCGAAGCCAAGAAGAAAAAACAGGGTACCCATACCAACTTCGAAACCACACACAGAAGCACACACACACACACACCCACACCTACACACCTGACTGGCCGGTTCGAGGCCAAGATTCGCAGCTGCTGCGTGCCCCCCTGCTGTCCTTCAAGGCCGCCGGCTTTAAAGCTCATCAACGCCTGGCTGACGTGGCGGGAGTCAGATCGGCTATCAGCAAGCTTCAGGCAACTCATCGATCAAGCCAGCGAAGGAGCAAAGAACCTGAACGATAAAATCGCAAACGCCGATTCGGAATAGAAGCAAACAAGATTCAGGGACCTGCTACCCTATGGAAGTCTGCTGGGAATCTCTCCCTGCAACTCACCAGGGCAAAACTTGCCAATGGCGGTCGCGTAAACAACATCGGTTTGAACATGTTTGAACATGTGTGGCTGGATCTCGCAATCCTGCAACTAGCGTGCGTCAGAACAGAGGCTTGCTGGCAGTTTCCCTTTCAACCAATCTGAAACAAGGGCTCCAAGCCTCAAATTGAAACACTGACCCACAAGCCAGGCGCACCGGAGCAATCTCATTGCGGCCCAGGGCTGTGAGGTACACGCTGCACTGCAAGCTGGCGGCTTGGACAACGGAAAGGCTCCCCGCCAGAAGCGGAGCACCGTGTAAAGGCTGCCAGCAAACCTCGCTGGGTCCATTTTAAGTCACCCTCAAAATTAACCAACGGGTTGAAACTCGAGCCCTTTTAGCAAGACACCAATGTCAAAGTTACCGAATGGCCGGCTAAAAGGAAACCAGGTCCCAAAGGCAGTTTTGAGTCCTCAACATGCCCCACTTTCAGCCGGACGAAGCGGCCAAAGCTAAGAACAGCACCGGTAGCTCAGCCGGCTCTGTGGCCAAAAGCTCCGTGGCAGTGTGGCCCTTGTTGTGCACGACCCATTGGAGCCCTTCGCCTTGAATCCTTGGGCGCTTCCCTCGAGACCCCCTTTTGTACGACAAATGGCTGTGGCTCAAAAACATGTGCCAAAATGGCACCTTGGTAAATGCCACCAAAGACTAGGACCTGCGTAAACCCAGTTGTTTAATTTTGAGCCACACCCAAATCTCGTTGGATTCTCCTCGTGGAATCTGACGCGATCGGCGCATGTGACATGATCAAATGTCCTTCGTCAAGGTTCCCTAGGAGCCTTTCGATGCACGTGGCTTTGTTCCCAAACTTGGATCCTGCCTTTAAAGGCATGCGGTCGGATGTATTTGTCTCGAGCCAAGTCTCTGAAAGGAAGGCATTCTGCTTGATGGCCACACGGCATCGAGTCTGAAAGTTCTTGGATCAGGAGTAGACTGCAGCGTCCTGCATTGCAACACAATCATCTTTCCAGATCTGGTTCAGCACGGTGTACCACATCTGAAGCGCAAAAAGTCAGACTTCAAGCCACCTGGCTGCAACACATGTAGACACGTCAAGTGTACAACGGCATCGGCAACAGCAAGCCGCTTCTGGGATGGCCCGTCCAAATTCATGGGTGGGATGCTACGTGCAAGCGGTCCGAACCCATTTCTAACCAGCTAAATCAGCTGTCGATGCACCCGCCCCCTCCTTCCCACGAGATAGTGGGAGTCACCCAAGACGGAGGAGTTCTGGGGGTCCGCTCCGGGAGCTGCGTAAATACCTGGACGGGATTCAGACTACTCACCTGAAGATCACACAAATGCCGGGGACCTTTTCGTGGCAACTGTGGTTTCTTTCTCACAGGCTTCGAGGACTGCTGTGTTCCCTTGTGGTGTACCCCGGATGCCATATCCGACCGGTGAGCCGCAAAAGAGGTGTGGCTCCCCAGCGAATTGTGCACAGCTCCCTTGACGTGTGCCTCGAAGTTCATCTTCATCCTCCACCGAGCACCACCCCATTTCGCTGCTCTCGTTCGCGCAAGCGACTTGCTCGCCCAAGCTCAAGACGTCACCGGGTGCCAGCCCCGTCGGCACGGAGCCAAAGGTGATCTCAGCCCCGAGGTGAGAGACCTCAGCGGGCTTGTGTAGAGTTTGGATCCAAACTCGGAACTTGTTGTTGACCAAGATGGCCGCAAAAAATAAAGCATGACATCCAGAAACTCAGGAAGTGAGCTTGCGGCAAACAAAGACATGCAAACACCGCGGGCAAGGAATGCATGAGTCGACTGGGCGGGAGGCGTGAACGGCTTCCACCAGAACCTGAGGGCATTGTCCCGTGTCCTCAGCCACTCCACCACACGGCACAGTCGCGAAGTCCAGGACTTGCAGAGAGATGCCCTCGCTCCGCTCGCTCTGTGGCTGGCAAGCACCAGGGCAGCCCACATGAATCGAGTCTTCCAAGGCCTGGCAGCCGCCCTGTGGAATCAGAATTCGGTCGGTTGCCAGCAGGCCCCAGCCGGTAAGCTGCAAACCGAAGTGTACGCCCACGCTGACTGTCCATCCTTGACTTGGAGTCAAATCGTTTGCCAGACTCGGGCCACGGACTGTGAAGTGTGAAATGATTCTCCAGAGATCCGAGGGACATTGGCTAGCCTCACTTCCGCAATAGCACACTGCCACACGCCCAGGACGATTCAAGGACAAAGAGATGCTGTTGTTGAAAGTGATCTTTGAGCTGTCTTGTTCCAGCTGGCCAGTCAACGCCAGGAGGACCTCCGACTCCTCGAATTCCGTCGAATTGCCAAGCGAAAGCAGCAGAAAGTGAGGTGAGGATGCATTGCGGTAGGCAGCCAAGGATGTCAGGCAATCCATGTCCCCCAAACTCAGCGAGTTATCCGACAGAAGCTTCACCTCAGCATTCCGCACACCCGCTGGTGGCACCTCCATTGCAGCCGGCTGAAACGACTCCTCTGGCCCCTCCCCGAGGTCAATTCCGAGGCGTCCCTGGCGCCCCGGGACCTGCCACGGCAAAGCCGAGGCCATCGGCCGCAGAGGCAGCAGCGACAGCTGCCCCACCTTGAAGAAGCTGGGGAGCCTCGCATCGCTCTCGCAGTCTTCCAGGCAGAAGCACAGCTCCAGCCGCTTCACCTCGTAGGTTGCCCCCTCCGGCCGATCTTGCAGGAATTGGAACGGACCTTCGGCCAGGAGTTGCAAATGTGGCTTGAACACTTTGAAGCACCCGTGCCTCTGTTAAAGGGAAATCCAAGGAGGTGGTTTAAACAATGGAGGGGTAAACCATCTGAACAACTTGTAATTCACAAACCAAAATAAGGAAACCTTATGAAAGGAACAGGCAACGTCCCAAACCCTTGGAAGGTGACGTCGCTGTAATTCACCCAGAACTATGGTTGCAGACCGTGCCCAGCGCTTCCAGTTCCCGTCAACGTAAATAACGCGCTACAAAACTATCATGCAAAACCTGAAGGCAACAAATACCTGGCTACCTACTATAGCGACAACTATCTTGCAAAACCTCCAGGCACAAATACCTGGCCATACCTGGCAGCGCTGGCATGGTGGAAACCGGGGCCCCCGAATCGCCATCGACCCGACTCGCCTTCAGCTCCTGCCCCGAAGACTTTGACATCTTGCCGCTCCCCGCCGGACAAGGCGCAGCTCGCAGGATTCACGCAGTTCCTTGATGGCAAGAAATCCCCTGCCAAAAAGTGGAAAGCTGGTTGCAATGGACTGAGAAAAGAGTTAATCCCAACGGTTTATAGCTGTTTGAAGGTGCGTGGGAAAAAGTGTGGATTGAAGCTCCCACTCAGCATTCAAGTTGCGGAGGGGAGGTCTGCAGCGGGCTTTGCCAAGCGGTGCGGCACCCGTTGTTGCGATCCCAGCTACGAGAGGTGTCGACCCCTGGGTCGATGAGCTTCAAACGAGACCCACGAAGATCTGAAACTTGACATGCATCGCCTGGGCCAAAACTCCAGTGGTCGCGGGAATTCCTCAAACCCTCATGACCACCAAGCCCGGGTCTTTTGACCTTTGCAACTGTCCCTAAGCCTTATACTGGTTCGTTAAAACCCGAAAGGGCTCGCCATCAACCCCCTCTGGGTAAGGTCGTTTGACCGCGCCTGGGCAAAATACCTGCAGCAGCATTGGATATATTGCCGCAATGGCCCCAACGGTTTCCCCACAGCTTCCAGGCAGGCACAGACCGGCTGCGAAGAAGTGAAGAACTCCCACCTCCTGCAGGAAGAGCTCGGGCTGCAGGCAATCTCCGAGTGCACACATGCACCTTTGCCCGGGTTTCTCGGTTTCTCCCAAAAGCGGTGACGGTGCATTTCCTAAAATGGCAAGGGCGTCCTTTGAGTTGCTGAAAGCACGAACCAAGAGGATTCACCATTCTGAGAAACACCCAGTCAACATAAATCATCAGTTGGGCTTAAATTTAACAGGGGACCCATTTTAGTCAGGGGCAAAGTATGATACCAACGTTGACCGAGGCACACTGACACTGTGTAGCCTTTGAAGGTACTTCCGGTGAGGTCCCCTCGAGATCGCAATGAGGCAGAGGCATTCGCGTCCAGGTCAAGAAAGAAATCCCCCGCATCGCATCGGTCTCCATCCGCACATAGAAAGTTCTCGGAACCGACGGTCTCGCAACCAGGGCGTTGCACAGATGCCACGGAGCCATCACTGAAGGTGATGTCCCAAGGAGACGTCCAGGAGATCTTGATTTCGGACACATTGCCCAAGACTCCTGGCCAGGGCTCTGGAAAATGACCACTTCTGTGATACAACAAAAAGGGCTTCTCAAAGACAAACCTGCCATATAAAGGGGGATCATCCCGAAAGGTGTCACTCCCACAACCCTGCTCCTTGCTGACTATCCCAATCAAAGCTCACCACGCAAGCTGGGCTATAGGCACCTTGCAGCAGGTAGCAGTACTGCACGCGCGCAGGGAGGCACGGCGAGGCCGCAGTGTTCGAACAGCTCGAGTCGTAAGCACCAAGCACTGCAAAGGTGATCGGAACCAGGTCCACATGCCCACCGGAGAAGTCGTTGTTTTCCTTGGCCGGTACAAAGAACCTGAAAACACCGGCAAAAAGTGAGCACTTTGTGTTGTTGGGAAAATCGTCGTACTGTTCAAAAAGGCGGTCATGTTCCAAAGTTTCGCACTTGCAGGAGTGAGGAAACCGTCATTTTCCAAAAGATGAACAGGTCAGTTCAAAAAGGTCATTTCGGCCGCACCAAAACCAAGCTTCTGTGAAGCACAGCGCAAATTCGCCGCCTTCGCGGAAGGTGAGGGGTAGAAAGCCTGCATCGGAAAGCAAGTCGCCGGTGTCCGTCACGGCCTGTACCCCATCACCCCATTCCTCTGGCTCCACACGCAAATATGTGCCAACCTGCACACGCGCATTCTCATGGACGCACTGGCCTCGCCTTGCGGCTTGTTCATCGAATCCTGCAAAGCGGTGTGCCAGCAGCAGTCGTGGGTCACTTCCCCAATCGTAGCTGTCATCAGGCGACTGAAGCCGCAAAGCGCGAATTTCCAGTCCTGCAGGAATCTGCACTTCGCTGCAATTTTGAGAGTCACAGTATTGATCTGCGACTCCAAGAAACTCAATGGTCAAAATCAATCGAGCTGGCAAAACAGGAGGAAGTGAAGTACTGGTGAGCGTTGATGTGGTTATGCTAGTGAAGGTTTCACTGGTTGATGTGGTTGAGGAGCTTGTCAGTGAGGAAGTCAAGCTAGTGCTGCTGGTGCTGCTAGACGTTGTGGATGTTGATGATGTAGATGAGGTTGTAGATGTAGTGTTTGTGAGTGTCGAGGTTGTCGCAGTCAGAGTTGTGGAAGTAGAAGTGGTCGTGGTGGTATTGGTCACCTCTTGCAAGAGTCGCGCAGAGTCGGTCGGGTTAGCACACGCCAAGCGGAACCAAAGGAAGCCGCTTAGCCAGTGCCAGGTCAGTCGCAAAGCCATCCTTAACAGCGACACATCACCCAAAGGATCACAAGGCCCCATGGTAAACTTAAACCCATCGGGGAAATGAACACCTGGTTTAGGTCTACCTTGGGGTAATCAAGCACGAAACCCCGGATCACAGCTTCCGATTTTAAGCTCTTTGCCATGTCGAGAAGGTCGCAGTGCTGCTTCACATTGTGCATCCATGGCAGCGAGTCGTTGCGTGCCAGTTCACACCCTGTTCTACATGGAAGGTCACAGGTGACTGAAGCTAAACAAGCAAACCTGGCCTTGTACAAATGATTGTCAGTTGAAACCTTGGTGTCAATGAGATCATGCACAAGTCCGAAGTCCCCGTCACAGTCAACTCACCACTGCAAACATAGTGTGCTGTTGGAAGCTCGAGACGTTGGAACAGAGTCAAGCCATTTGTCTAGAAATCGCTTGGTATGTCCCGATTTACTCGCAGCTATTCGACTGCAGCGATTTAGACATGGCTCAGCACCTGAACATCGACTCGGCCGCGGTGACACATGCAACACACAGCACGTCGTCGCAGCTGGCAGCTTTCACAAGTGAGACTTCTGTTCCCAGAAACTCGACCTGAGGCCAAGACACTACAATGTCTTGTACCCTGCTCCCACGAACGCCAATGATAGTATTTTGGACCGCCCACCACTGAATGGCTTTTTTTCAAACACTGAATGGTTTTTTTCAAACAGGAGGACGGATAGACGGATAGTTGGCGGGGAGCAGGGGCCCACCAATATCTACAGTGGCAAGGCGTGGCACCTTTTGGTCCAGGCCAGGCTGTAGGTTCACATCACTTCAAGCACTGGCCAGCTCTGAACCACTGCAGACGGAGCGCGTGGATCGCTTACGACACCTCTGTACCAGCAGGACACCGGCTACGAGTGCAGCAGCGGAACCTGCGACAATGCCCAGAGTCAGCAGACTGGCATTGGCAAGCCGATGTGACGGATCGTCGTGATGTTGTTTGTAAGGGTTGATAATCCAAACAGAATCATCGACAAATGTTCCAGTGGGCAACGAGCCCACACTGGCGGAACCAGCATCTTTGGCCAACTCCATAACCCGCCGGCTGTCACTCTGGCTGTTTCGATGCCATTCCCAGCGCATGTGGGTCTTGTTGGCAATGACGATGCGACCATGCCCAAATGACTTACCATCTCGAAACGCCGACCAGTCTGGCGCCTGCAAGTAGCTGCTGGCAAGGCCTTCTCGATTGCCACCATCGCCCACCACAATGTAGGTAGGCGCATTTGCCTTGGTTTGGTTTCTGTACACCGGATGGCTGCGCTCGTAAGCATGCACGTGGCCGGAGATCACGATCGCGGCCTTGTGCTGGAAAAAGAGCTCCTCAAATCCGTGCAGGTCCCTCATCAGGACAGCCTGGCCTTCCTTGTGATGCGCTACATTCGAGGTGTAGAAGGGGCAGTGCATCATGATGATGAGCCAGGGCGTGTTGGCCCTGCGCCGCTCTAAAGCGGCCAGCTCCTCTTTCAGCCAGTTGTACTGAGCTGAGGATTGGTCCGTATGAGCATAGCTGTTCAGCGAAATGACTCTGGCAGGGCCAGAGTCAAAGGCATAAAAAGAGTTGCCCCAGTCGTAATGGCACGTAAACTCTGATGGCGTGCAGTCGGCTCCTGTGTGAGGCTCATTTGGGAAGGGATGTTTGCACCCCACCTGCCCCGGGGATGGGGAAAACTCCGCTTCCTGGACGGCAGGCATGGCAAATCTCGCCTCATAAGCCACAAAGTTCTGGCCCGTGTAGAAGTCGCTCTCGATTTCCTCACTCAGAAAACTGCCCAAACAGTGTGCTGCTTAAAACGGACATGTCGGATTTTTGTTTTGCTGGTTGAAAGGGAACATGTCGGATTTTTTGCTGGTTGAAAGGGAACGTATCGAAAATTTGGCCGGACAGGGAAAAACGACGGAAAATCAAGCACAAAGCAAAAACGGCGTGCCAGGTCTGGTGATGCTTCATGATTCCCCGGACAAACCATCCACTGCAAGCGCGAGGCCAATGGCTCCATCTTCATGCCATACGAGTCCCACCTGGGGGAGTTGGTATCCTTACTTCCCGAGACTGGCCAAAAAGTCAAGCCACTTTTGGTTCAGCTCTGAAATGGTCCAAACCCAAAAAGTAATTAGCGATAATGTCCGTGGGAAGTCTTGGTTTGCCATTAGAACCCAAAGCTTGTTCCCCCAAAGCAGTCCACTGGATGCATCAAAAAAGCAGAGACCTCTCAAATGGTGGCGTCCATTTTGACGGACTCCTTAAACCAATGCCCAAAAGAACGGGGGGCACAAAACAAGAAACACAGCCACTCATTGGGTGTAGTGTCCGAATAGGACATGTCCCCCGCGTGCAAAATGATCTGCAGCTCTTGGTCCGCGTCCAAGTGCTTCACCGTCTCCTCCGAGTGCAACGTCTGCCCCAGGTCGCCGAGGACTCCTCAGCCCGGTCCAAGAGCTCCGGAAGAAGATTTTGAGGCAAAGTGGCCGCGAGTGGAGGAGGTTTACGGGTACTCCGGAAGGCCCAACAAGTGAGAGTTTGTTGCTTTGGTCGGAATGGGTCGCGATGATCTTATATTCAATGGTTGGTTGGTTGGTTGGTTGGTTGGTTGGTTGGTTGGTTGGCTGATTGATTGATTGATTGATTGATTGATTGATTGATTGATTGATTGATTGATTGATTGATTGATTGATTGATTGATTGATTGATTGATTGATTGATTGATTGATTGATTGATTGATTGACTAGTTGATGGATTGCTTGATTGCTTGATTGTTTGCTTGATATTTACAAAAGGTCCAATTGTTTCGGCTGCAAAGACCAAACAAGACTCCCATGTGAATTAGGCATTTCCCAAAAGGCTACAAGGTTAGAGGCGTCCCATCGTCTACCGAGAGTAAGCAAGCGAGAAAAAAAATGCCAAGAGCTGCCAAAAGAACCAAAGAGTAGCCACAACTGGCCAAAAGAGTGGCCAAAAGTAGAGTGGCCAAGTTGCCAAAAAGAACCGAAGAGTAGCCAAAACCAAACAGTCGCCAAGACTCCCATGGTGAAGGGGAACCGTGGATCCTGTTGCGAGGGATCGCGCTCCTCCGAGGCAGGCAGAGTTCTGAAGCGCCGGTCTGGACCGTCAGCGGGATCCCCCTGCCTTGGTCATTCAACCCTCAGCCTACCAAAGGAAAACCGCTTTGTGGAGTTCCCTCCATAAAACAAACCCACATGTGGGTGGCGGAAATCACCCCGTGAGATACCGGGATGGACAAAATCCACGTGGCACTGGTTGGATGGATGAACCCCGATTTGCATATTGGCTGATAAACAACCTACTAACTGGTGCAGTCTTCACAGTAGGAGCTAAATCGTCAAACATGGGTGTTTTCACTACCATCTGCTGGATGTACTACCATCAGGAAGTGGGTGTTTCCCGAAATGGTGATTCGGCCCCATGTTGGTTGAAGGGCAAAAATGTAAGATAGCACCAAACGTTGACCCAGCTGCAGCTTGTATTGGTAGAGGCTGCCGGCAACCAGACCCTGCACGAGAACACGGTGGATTCGGCCCGAGGTGTAGTTGCCGAATAAGTCGGGCGCAGAATTGAGGGAATACCTCAGGCAAGTCCCAACCACCTGCAGCGTCGGCACTTTGGCGAGACCAAGTGGCCCCGAGATTTGAGCCACGGCCACTGTATTGCAGGAGTCATTGTCGTCGCGAGGGTCATCCGTGATCCATGTGATACTTACATGGCTATCTCCAGCAACTCCTGCCGCGATAGCCACCTGTTTGGGCACCCAATCCTGCTCCATGCACTCAGCATGCAAACCGGCCCAAGTAACCAGCGTAGTCAACCATGCTGAGACCTCAGTCAACCAGAACGACCACAACTCTGTCATTCACACAGTATCCACTAACGGTGATGTCTGCAGTGTACGTTTGAATATGAGGGTTGAGTTGTTTTTTTTACTAGCCCCGACTATTTACTAGCCCCGACTCAGGCTCTCAAGAGGTTGGCTGCTTCGCTCTCAGGTTGGGGGCAACCGGCGGTATTCTCTGGGGGCCAAGTTGGCCAGGTTGGCGGGGTCAGGTTGCCGCATCCCCAGCATCACCGGCTTTGCTCGTTCCAGGGCTGCCTATTGGCTTTGATGTGGTGGATGCTGGGGATGCTGGGAATGCGGCCGCCCAGCCGACTAACCAGCCAACCAACCAACCAACCAACCAGCCAGCCAACCAACCAACCAACCAACCAACCAACTAGTCCCTTGGCCGGGGCTAAGCTCCGAGCCGGGGCTAGTCAAAAAAAACACCGTTTCCGAATATGAGCCGCCGCCAAAACCCGTATATGGCAAACTGGAATATCTCTGAACCGCTCGTTTTAAAGAGATGCCTTCGTTTTGGAGGGTTTTTGGGCTCTGAATTGGTGGTGTGCCCAAAAACTTCCTCTTGGGCTTTCTTGCCTGGTAGGCTTGAGACAAACTAAGGCATGAACTATCTACATTGGTGCACGTAGAATTAGAGTTTATTGGTGGGTATTAACTACAATGAGATTCATGTCCACCAACCGATTTGGAAGGCGTTCCCCATGAACATTCATGGCCATATAGCACTCTTGCCAAGCAGCTGTCATGCGCTGACAGGATTGGTGCGCCCGCTACCATTTGCAAGCAGACTGGGCCTGAACCTGCTTTGCATCTTCACACAGGCACCACTTGCATGCGACTAGCATTGGCTATGTAGCTCAATCAGAGCGCGATTTTTTCGCATTGGCGACAAATGCCTGCATCATTGGCAGGAATATTGGACAGGAAACGACAAGTGCTAGAAACTCCGTCTTTGGGTGTGAAAGCTAGAGGTCGTCCATGCATTGCTGCACGAAATAAACAGGACACAAGCAAACTAGCAGCTTGGTCACTGGAAAGATGCCCTTTGAGAGCAAGTCTGAGCGTTCAAACAGGCTATGATGCGCTTCAGATTGACTAAGAAACTTACCCTCTTCCCAACATTGACAGGGAGGCTCCCCACAAAAAACGACCTTGTTGTCAGCTTCCATACTTGTTGGAGGGAGGGTATCTAAAGCAGGAACGGAGCGGTCTCCTCATTGGAATGCGTGAGGAAGCCCGACATACAGCAGGTCATCCTTGTTCACGAGCGCATTTGCAAACAAGAGCCAAAGCAGTTGGAAAGCGGGGCGGGAAAATATTACTATGGGCAAGCACAGAATTGCCCTCTGACATGAGCCCCAGACAAATGTATGTTTCCCGAAACATGGGGAAATCCTCTCCGCACTAGCAATAGACTACCAGAAGTCTTGTCAGCTGAGTCACAAATAAAACCCGGCATAAAAATGGTTGACCCAGACCCATGTAAAGAAACACAAAGGCGGCCGAAACTATTCATGGCTGGGATTGTCCCTGACTAACCTTCATCTACCCGGGTTTGATTGTGGCTTAGCTGCTCATATGGACTTAGCGTGCCCAAGTTCTTACTTTTGGTCTTTCTACCCAGGCCTCAAACAAACTAGAATCATGTGGGCCAGGGGTCCATGTTTTGAGCCCCCCAGGGTTTGCTGAGGGGACTTATTTCTCTTCAGGTTTATCTCAAAGGGAAACCGATAGGAACAGCACACAATTTTGCGGTTTACCCCTGTTTTGACGCGTGCACGTACACACACACACAGACACAAACACTGACACAGACACACCTGAGTCATAATCAAAACCCGCTATCAAAATGGTCTACTCAGAACCATGTAAATAATTAAGAAGGCGGCCGCTGCTATTTATGCTTGGGATTACCCCTTACTAGCCTTCATCTGCCCGGGTTTTGTGGCTCACCTGGCACGGACCGAAAGCCCTGTTCGCGCTTAGAGCCCCGCTGGCAGTGCTGCGCAGCCCAGGAGCTGGCACACCAAGCAGCTTGTGTGCGATGACCCCGGCAGCGCTCGTCCCTCAAACACTGGCGACCTCAGACGAGCTGCGTAAACCCCAGGCCAAAATGCGCGGGGCCCGTTGGTGGACATCCGTCAGGTGGGGATTTATGTCAACCACTTTTGAGGTGGTTCTCTATGGAAATACCAACCACTGTTGAGGTTTGTCCCTATTGAAATAGCCCCAAAGGAGAGTTTCTGAAGGTCGTGGACCCCCTCACCTTTCGAAGGGAGATAAACGAAACCCTTGCCATCCCCCAAATACCCCAAAACTTTGATTTAAGGCTACCCAGCCACAAACAAACACACACCCAAAGGTGCCACGGTCAAGACTCCGAATCGGTGGGTCATGGTAGTGCCTCCCTTAGGAACCTTTCTAGTGGGTCCATCTCGCGAAGGCCCTGCTGTTTGACACCGTCGAAGCCACTTTGCAAAGGCGAGCTAAGAGCAATTTGGCCATGGGTCCAAATCCAAATCGTACCCCCAGTGAACATCCCAATCCCCACTAAAATAGGTTCTAAAAATTGGGCGGTGACTCCAAAATGGCACCATTCGTTTTGATCCGCAGCCATTTTGCGAGCTAAACATTTCCAACCTTTTCTTGCCGGTGCTCAGTGACCATGGCAATGGATCCAGCACACGCTTCAAATCCTGGGCGCGTCACACGCACTTGTGTCAGAGGCACCCGATGGCCTCAGATGAACAAGCCAGATGGGCAAGCTGACTAGGGGACCCTTTGGTGGACATCATTTAAGTGTGTCCACCAACCACTCTTGAGGTGGTTCCCCATTGAAGTTCTAATCTTCTCTTGGCAAATCTGGGCCACTGGCCAGGATGGTTGGTAGCTGTCCGCATACCATCCTGCCGTTGCAATCATTTCGGGTATGGTCGTGGACTCGCACAAACTTGCTCACTTTAAGCTAAGGAAGTAGTCATTCTCCAGCAGATTATCTCGGCCATACTAAAGGGTTACCAAGTGAAAGAACTCAACCAGGATGGGTCCAATATGGGAGGACTGATCCCACGCCCTCGTAGGAGTACCAAAGCCCGACCCAGAATTCGTGCGCAAATGACTTGCCGGTCTTTGGCAGCGTGACTCCGCACAGGTGTCGACGGACAGCAGGCCGGCGCGGCAGCACCTGGGTTTCCCAGATGGATGTCAGGGGGTGTCCAAATGCGGCATGTTCCAGGATTTTGAACCAACTCGCCAACCTCAAGTTCGTCTTTGACAGCCAAGCTTCTTGTTGCTCCATTTGTTGGGTGTTTTTTTTACCACCCCTGGGGTGCAGAAATCGTCGTGTGGCATTTGGTATTTGGGGACCCTTTCCTGGTATAAATGGCTCGGTGCTGGCATCATGTTGGCAGCTTCGGGCCTTTTTGCCACATACCCAAAGAAGAAATATCCTGCCGTCAAGTTCGTTGTGACTCGGCTGCAGCCGTTTACCGTATTTTCAATACGAAAGTCATTGGAAGACCGAGTCTTTCATAGTACTTTCAACATGCAACAACACAACTTTGTCTCCTTTCTGAGGTGCCGTAAGAAGACATCTGAGTGCACCACGTCCAGCCGCAACTGATCCTCGCCCATCCTTTGCTGCACCAATCCTCGCTTGCCCATACGGCATGAAGGGAAATGCCCATACCCTTGGCATACACATCATACCCCAAACGTCCCCCAAACCGCCCAAACAACTCCCTCCAACCTTTCCCCGTCCGAGCAAAGACCGAAAAATCGAGACATGCAAATGGCCTCCACCGAGAGATTGCCTCGGCAGGGCCTGCCAAGGCTGCAAGAACCTTTGAATCGTTGCCAAAGCTACGCATGTTTCCCCGAGGACATGCACCCCCCCTGCCCCCCCTCCCGTTGTGTTAGCTTTGGTGGAATTACAAACAAACTCACCTTCAACCCTCATATTTGGCATGGTCAAAGCTCAGTCTTTGCCAGGGCTGTAGAAGAGATTCGTATGGTTGCCACAATCTCCAATGGGGTTGATGACCCCTACCAACCCCAAGGGGAGTGGTCAAATTGTCAAAGCTTTGGCCATTGCGCATATCCACTCATACCTCGCATGTCTCTTGCACGCCTGTTGCGCAGGCATGGCGAACACGCCGCTGCCCCCGCCCGGCCGTTGCTCCAGCCTAGGGGCTTGGGATTCGAGCTTCGGGGTCGCTTCGTCGGCTTGAAGCCGACTCCCCTCATGACCAGCAGAAACGGGCGGAAATGATGAAACCATGTGTTTTTTTTTGTTTGCCACGGAAATGATGAAACCATGTGGGGCTTTTTGTTTGCCACCTGGTCATTGTGTCGTTTTGGCTCCGGCTTTCACGAAGGCTTCTTCGGCGATGGAGGGACGGGCCTGCATCCCAGGTGTCTGCGCAGTGCAGGTTACACCGCTGGGCTGCTGATGCAACGCCTACCGGCGAGTGCCCATTGCCGAAGCAGTGGGCAACAAAAGAAATACTCACTTGACCCAAGGACCTGCACATAATGAACCTTTTGTGACCTTGACGAAAAGTCTCACTGTCTCACTTCAAAAAAACAGTTTGCCACTCAGCAAATCTTCCCAACAAGACAGTTCAGGAACTCAGGGAGTGAAGACTTGGAGGGACACCCAAAACGGTTGAATCGCTTCGGGCTGAGAACATGGCCTGGGCCCGTCCACGGAGCCTGTCAGATCAATCACGTCACGCAGATGATCAGAATAATGCCCTCATTCATCATAGCGACTTGACATGGGTTGAGATGATTACATGGGTAGAGATGATTCAGAATATCTCCAGGTGAAACAGCAAGGATGAATGTTCTGCCCTGGATTCAATCCACACCACATGCTGGCCTGAATCGTCTTCAAGGCAGCCAGCAGCTCACCACTCGCTGCCGGTGTACGCCAGTCCGCAGACAGGACCCCGTAGTCTGGCTATGGACGCCGAAAGAGCATGGTCAAAATGACTTGCTTCCCAGTAAGTCCGCTAGTTTTTAGTTGCGAAATGTTGTGCCCCTTCTCCTTCCTGAATAGATCATAGACTACCAGTAGTCTTGCTCTATCTGCGAGGCAAACAAGTCCCATGTGCCGCGGTCACCACTCATTCCGCCCCCGAGTAGCATGGGGGCGAGTAACCCCCAATTGTCCTGATAAACACTTGGTGAGTGTGCCCAATGTCATCCCCTTGATATTTGTAGATAGAGATGATTGACCGTTGCTCCCATACTGCGCAGACGCTCTGTAAACGCTGCAACTGTTGATGCACAATTCCTGCACCAGTCGGTAGGTTGTGTTTCTGTCACCGTTTGCAGGGTGTCACCCATCCTTCCAAAGTGGATTTAATTTCCGTCGCTGGTAAATGTGTGAGGCCCACAAAGTGGCGGGTGCGTCTTTTTGGAGGGTACCCTGTTTGGGCTGGTTTTTGCCGGGAAACCGAGAGGACACCGAACCCCACGTCTGCGGACGGTGAAGTGCGCCAGCCCCGCTGGTTGGCCCATGGAAGGGGTGCAGGTCATCCCTGCTCCAGGTGCCATCTGCGTGCCATACCGCCCAATCCAGGTCCCCCTGGCCGCTCGGTGAACCTTTGAGGGCAACCCTCTTTGGGAAGGGCCAAAACCCCAGAAAATAAATTACTGGAGAGGTGTGTTTTCAGCCAAAACCGAAACCGAGACTGAAACCCCTTTTTTTGGGGGGGGATCCACGAGTCAATACCTTCCCACAAACCCAACAAGCCGCCTTTTTTGGAGGCATCTCCTCAGAATTTGACCTCCCTTTGCGGGTCTGTC